AAAAATTACTTGTGTCATGCACAAAGTAGATGTCCTAACTGACTTGCCAAAACTATAGTTTGTTAACAAGACATTTGTGGAGTGGTTGAAAAACAAGTTTTAATGACTCCAACCTAAGTGTATGTAAACTTCTGACTTCAACTGTATATATATATATATATATATATATATATATATATATATATATATATATACACAGTGGGGAGAACAAGTATTTGATACACTGCCGATTTTGCAGGTTTTCCTACTTACAAAGCATGTAGAGGTCTGTAATTCGTATCATATCATAGGCTCTCACAGACCTGTTAGTTTTTATTTAAGAAGCCCTCCTGTTCTCCACTCATTACCTGTATTAACTGCACCTGTTTGAACTTGTTACCAGTATAAAAGACATCTGTCCACACACTCAATCAAACAGACTCCAACCTCTCCACAATGGCCAAGACCAGAGAGCTGTGTAAGGACATCAGGGATAAAATTGTAGACCTGCACAAGGCTGGGATGGGCTACAGGACAATAGGCAAGCATCTTGGTGAGAAGGCAACAACTGTTGGCGCAATTATTAGAAAATGGAAGAAGTTCAAGATGACGGTCAATCACCCTCGGTCTGGGGCTCCATGCAAGATCTCACCTCGTGGGGCATCAATGATCATGAGGAAGGTGAGGGATCAGCCCAGAACTACATGGCAGGACCTGGTCAATGACCTGAAGAGAGCTGGGACCACAGTCTCAAAGAAAACCATTAGTAACACACTACGCCGTCATGGATTAAAACCCTGCAGCGCACGCAAGGTCCCCCTGCTCAAGCCAGCGTATGTCCAGGCCCGTCTGAAGTTTGCCAATGACCATCTGGATGATCCAGAGGAGGAATGGGAGAAGGTAATGTGGTCTGATGAGACAAAAATAGAGCTTTTTGGTCTAAACTCCACTCGCCGTGTTTGGAGGAAGAAGAAGGATGAGTACAACCCCAAGAACACCATCCCAACCGTGAAGCATGGAGGTGGAAACATCATTCTTTGGGGATGCTTTTCTGCAAAGGGGACAGGATGACTGCACCGTATTGAGGGGAGGATGGATGGGGCCATGTATCGCGAGATCTTGGCCAACAACCTCCTTCCCTCAGTAAGAGCATTGAAGATGGGTCGTGGCTGGGTCTTCCAGCATGACAACGACCCGAAACACACAGCCAGGGTAACTAAGGAGTGGCTCCGTAAGAAGCATCTCAAGGTCCTGGAGTGGCCTAGCCAGTCTCCAGACCTGATCCCAATAGAAAATCTTTGGAGGGAGCTGAAAGTCCGTATTGCCCAGCGACAGCCCCGAAACCTGAAGGATCTGGAGAAGGTCTGTATGGAGGAGTGGGCCAAAATCCCTGCTGCAGTGTGTGCAAACCTGGTCAAGACCTACAGGAAACGTATGATCTCTGTAATTGCAAACAAAGGTTTCTGTACCAAATATTAAGTTCTGCTTTTCTGATGTATCAAATACTTATGTCATGCAATAAAATGCAAATGAATTACTTAAAAATCATACATTGTGATTTTCTGGATTTTTTTAGATTCCGTCTCTCACAGTTGAAGTGTACCTATGATAGAAATTACAGACCTCTACATGCTTTGTAAGTAGGAAAACCTGCAAAATCGGCAGTGTATCCAATACTTGTTCTCCCCTCTGTATATATATGTACTCCTGAGGAGGATTTGCTGGCCAATAAGCAGTCTACTCGCATGAATATTTTTTATGACCGGTATAAGCCCACACCATTCTGTTGTTGGGGTACGCCCACACAATTCAAACACAGAAAAGCAGTTTTTGAAAAACTGAATTACAATTTTTGGAAGGAAAACAATTTCACTCATATTGTAAGTAATTATAGGACATATTTCATAGAAATCTTGAAACACTGGACAGTTACTTTAAAATTGACCAACCCCCCAAACCAAGATGCCCTTTTTACACTGAATAGAAATATAAACGCAACATGCAACAATTACAGTTCATAAGGAAATCAGTCAATTGAAAAAAATGAATTAGGCCCTAATCTATGGATTTCACATAACTGGAATACAGATATGCATCTGTTGGTCACAGATACCTTTAAAAATAAGGTATGGGCCTGGATCAGAAAACCAGTCAGGATCTGGTGTGACCACCATTTGCCTCATGCAGTGCGACACATCTCATTCACAGAGTTGATCAGGCTGTTGATTGTGGCCTGTGGAATGTTGTCCCACTCCTCTTCAATGGCTGTTCGAAGTTGCTGGATATTGGCGGGAACTGGCACACGCTGTTGTCCACGCTGATCCAGAGCATCCCAAACATGCTCAATGGGTGACATGTCTGGTGAGTATGCAGACCATGGAAGAACTTGGACACTTTCAGCTTCCAGGAATTGTTTACAGATCCTTGTGACATGGGGCTGTGCATTATCATGCTGAAACATGAGGTGATGGCGGCGAATGAATGGCACGACAATGTGCCTCAGGATCTCGTCACGGTATCTCTGTGCATTCAAATTGCCATCGATAAAATGCTATTGTGTTCGTTGTCTGTAGCTTATGCCTGCCCATACCTTAACCCCATTGCCACCATGGGGCACTCTGTTCACAATGTTGACATCAGTAAACCACTCACCCACACAACGCCATACACGCCGTCTGCCCGGTACGGTTGAAACCGGGATTCATCTGTGAAGAGCACACTTCTCCAGCGTGCCAATGGCCATCAACGGTGAGCATTTGCCCACAGAAGTCAGTTACGACGCTGAACTGCAGTCAGGCCAAGACCCTTGTGAGGACGACGAGCACACAGATGAGCTTCCCTGAGACGGTTTCTGACAGTTTGTGCAGAAATTCTTTGGTTGTGCAAACCCACAGTTTCATCAGCTGTCCGGGTGGTTGGTCTCAGATGATCATGCAGGTGAAGAAGCCGACTGTGGAGGTCCTGGGCTGGCGTGTTTATGTGTGGTCTGAGGTTGTGAGGGCGGTTGGACGTTGTAAAATGACGTTGGAGGCGGTTATGGTAGAGAAATAAACAATAAATTATCTGGCAACAGCTCTGGTGGACATTCCTGCGGTCAGCATGCCAATTGCACGTTCCCTCAAAATTGAGACATCTGTGGCATTGTGTTGTGTGACAAAACGGCACATTTTAGAGTGGCCTTTCATTGTGCCCAGCACAAGCTGCACCTGTGTAATGATCATGCTGTTTAATCAGCTTCTTGACATGCCACCTGTCAGGTGAATGGATTATCTTTGCAAAGGAGAAAGGCGCACTAAAAGGGATGTAAATACATTTGTGCACAAAATCTGAAAGGAATAAGCTTTTTGTACATATCGAAAATTTCTGGGATCTTTTATTTCAGCTCATGAAACATGGGACCAACACGTTTCATGTTGCGTTTATATTTTTGTTCAGTATAGTTGGGCATTTTCTATGTTGTCCTGACCCCTGATATTCCTCATGATCATTTTAAGTAAGCCACTTTTTTCTTTACTATGATAACGGCTGACCCCAGAGTTGCTGCAGTGTCTATTGGAGAGGAGGGTAACAACACATGGAGGACTGTCACCAAATCCCCGTCTTCTCCATGGTCTCCAATACAGATGGCTCGCCTAACCTCATGATAAGCCGCAAGGTACCTGACTGACTGGGTTGAACACTTGAATGCATCCCAAATGGCACCATATTCCCTATATAGTACACTACTTTTGACCAGAGCCCTGTGGGCCCTGAATGGATATTTTCTTTCCTATGAGCCTTGGTCAAAAGCAGTGTACTATAAAGGGAATGGGGTACCATTTGGGACACAGGAAGACTTTGTTTATCATACTTAATTATGTTTGGGACATTAGCCAGGCCATAATACGACACTTACCAAGTATCACTACTGAGCTCCCTCTACTTACCGTCCTTGCCTTGGCAACAATGTTGAGCCTCACTTACCATGTTAAACATTCCTAATGTATTCATCTGATAAAACCGTCATAAATATTAAGTATTAAGGGGTCCTTCATTAGAACTGGAAGTTGCACTGATTTATAGAATTGTTAATTTAAGGTGTCAAAGCAATTACTCTTTTCTTCAATGGTTATGTATTGACTATCATATAATTGAATGCAGAGTACAGTGACTATGTGGACACTGAATGTATCTTCATTCTGATTTCAGGCTTGTGACTACCTGTCCATAGTTCTGTGAAGAATATGTACTGTCTGATTTGAATCATCCTGTCAGTGGGAGTATTGTTGTTCTGCACTTATAGTGTATTTTAATTCTGTGAAATAAACTTTATTTATACTGCAATATTGGGTTTGTTAAGTTTGTTCTGAATGGTACTCAGAGCTAGTGTGAACATGTCTAAAAGACAGTTGATCTTTGTATGCGTCTACTTAGAGGGCACAATGAAGTGCAAAAAGTACTTTATGGCAGAGCAATGCGCTAGATGGCATGCCATAGCGCTTTGTTGTTCATGACCACTGGTAGCTCCTGTTCTGAGTCGTGTCTCAGTAGATGTTTTCTGTGGTCTTTACCCATGAGTACCCACAGTATGAGTCTGCCACAGGAGGTTGGTGGCACCTTAATTGGGAAGGACACGCTCATGGTAATGGCTGTAACGGAATGAGTGAAATGGTATCACATTGTTTCCATGTTTGATTCCATTCCATTCGCTCTGTTCCAGCCATTGACCTGTCCTCCCCTCAGCAGCCTATGCAGGCAGCAAGCTCAGAATGTCCAAAACCATGAACAGTACAAAGTACAAGTGAAAACAAGTCCTTTGATATGATTACTGGATTAATTTCCCACTGAGGCATTTTCCAGGTTATATAGATGTTGAATAGGATGGCTGAGCTTGCATCAGAAAACATGCAGTCATTGACTTATGTTAGCCTCCTGGCATAAGGGAACTGTACCAACTCAATTTATAACCAGTTATTTTACTCCTTTTTTTAAATGTCAGTTGCCCATGCTTGGATGTTATCTGAAATAAAATCATGCTGAACCACTCATGAAACATTTTATTTTGTCATACAGTGACATTCTTCCATAATGTTGACAAATGACACTGACAGCCTTCATATATTAACGTTATTTTCAGACATAGAAGCATTTACAACACTGACACATTTGCAGGAAAGCAGTAGTTCAATATTAAATTATTGTTCAAAGCGGCAGAAACTTCACATACAACAGTCTCAATGATAACTGACGTGCCCAAACTGGGCAATGACTTCAATCACTGCCTATACTTTCCCTCAAAATTAAACACTTTCCATTTGTTTGCATTTTCAATCTAGAGGGGGATGGTGTCTTACTGAAATTAGTTTGGCTTGTTGAATCTATTTATACTTAGCTTGTTGAATCTATTCTATCTATACATTAACTGCATTTCACAAAACCACTGAGGTCCTCCAGGAACTTGATGTATTCGTGATGTTCCATGGCAGTGCTCAGCTTGATCAGTTCATCAGCAAACGTGTTGTCAACCCCCCGGTCAGCCAGGAAGTCCATGAGATGGTCATACAGGGCCTGAGGTAAACCACAAAGGAAAGGCCAGTGAGAACTTCAAAAATTAAACCGCAACCATGTGATAACCTGTGACTCCTTTAGTGTGATACGCAATATAAGCCAGTCACCTTAACTGTCGAGGGAGTAGGTTTGCGGTGTCTAGAGACTAATACGCTTAATAATTCCTGGTTATAACTCATGTTGCTTTCTAAAAAGTGTCACAATTCTATCAAGGCTACATTAAGACCAATATTTAATATTGTAGGCAGTCAAAGTCATCATTGACACTCAGAAGTATCTGTAATGATATTTACATTTGCAGACAGATGGACCAAGATTCAGGACTTACCCAGTCCAGAGAGTCTGTGTTGAGTGTGTAGGCGGTCTCCTTCCACTCTACATCTCCCTCAGGCTGGAAGCTGACCTCACGGATGGCAAAAATATCACTCTCCTCTTCCCCTTCACCATGGCTTGCCTGGAAAATTAATTTAGCCTAACATTGTCAGATATATTGCGTATTAACTAAATGTGGTAAGAAACAAAGCAATAAAGCCTTAAGTATTCACCAACTGAGGGGGCATGCTTCCCAATTATGTTGATAAAGATGTCTTCTGTTTGAACTTGGTCTGGACTATACATGAAGCCAATGATGATACACTTGTAGGATAACTTACCTCATCTTCAGGATAATGGCAGTCAAACACCAAGGAATGTTTTGCCGCCTGTTTCGTCACCTCGACAACGAAGTTAGGTGATGACACAATATCTGGCTTTAAGGAAACAAAATACACATGGTTCAAAACCTAAACAATGTAACAGTGCAACACGTTCAGTGCAGTGCGTGTCCATTTTGGAAAAGACAGTACAAAGAGGTTTACCTCATTCTCTGCAGACTTCTGTGCCTGTGCTTGTTCAGCCTCCTCTTCAAAGTTAGGGGGAATACTGTTGTTGACGTTGAATGTGATGGTCACTCTGTAAAAGGACAAAGGGTCAGACAATGTAGAGCAGCTTATACAAAATGTAGTTCAAATTACTTTCAAATAATGTTAACCGAGTTAATTTTGTGCAGTTATGGATTTATTAATACAACATCTAGGTTAACACTTAATGTGGTCAAATAAAATGTCTGCAGTGATTGTATCAGTACCGGTAATTTACTAATCTACTTGGTGTAGCAGGCAGGCATAAACTAATATTGAGATGGTCTTACTTTTCTCCAGAAATTGTCCTGATGAGTTTGGCTTCTGTGCCGTTTTGCTGTAGCTCCCACCCTCCAGACATCTTGGGAAGAGTATTGCTTTTCTGGATCTTCTTCTCTTCTTTGATTTCATCCGAAAGGAAATCTGCAAAGGCTTTGTCTCCTGAAACCGAGCAATTATATTGGATCTTAGAACAGAAGACAAGTCAGTATTAGCTACATGCTAGTCATATATACTGACCCATAGATTATGATAATCAACCCTTACACATTACACCCACGTTCCATTTCCATGGTCACATGTGCATTGAATGACACAAAGATAGCTAGCCAGCTAACATCACATTCAATAGTTACTGATCGTTTCGTCATCAGCTTTGCTTTTTGCACTGCTGTAGAACAAGCAGTCTTGCCTGATAAACAATAAACTAGCTATGAATATGACTAGCTACGGATAGATGTACACACGAATGTTCCACACATTGGGTGAAACGCATTGGTGACATTTCTGTTGCCAATTTCGTCCAACCTGTCAGCTACATGACAACGGTTACATAAGTTGTCCATGTTTTGCATTCAGGTCGCAGCTATTCCTCCATTGCTTTACATACAGCTAGCTAATTATGTTCAACAAGTCCAAGTTGAGGAGGCATATTTAGCAGGTTAGGAGAGCATTTTCACTAACCCTAACCCCTTTCCTAACCTTATCCTAATTATACTAACCTGCTGCGTAAATATAGCTGTATAGAAGTGGCGTGTTTTTAGGGAATGTCATATTTAGCAATATAGCCAACGTTAGCTAGCGTACTCACAAGAGTAGCTACTTAATTTAGCTAGTTATTACCTTCTGTATGTAGTGATCCACAGCCACACGACACAGGAATCAATCCTTTTGAACTGAAGAGTTTTGGTCTGTATCCCGATGCTGCCCCGTTTTGGCTCATCATCCAGAGAGACCGGGTGAAAGGTCGGACTGTTCCCGAGTTTGGAGAACATAATGTCGATCTCGTAAGAGGCTGGAGAGCTCGGGCCGAAAACATTGTGGTTGTTGAAATTCGAACTGCAGTACTCACCGCTTGGGAAAGAGACTTTAGCATGGTTATAGTTTGGTAAATTTGACTAGCTAAGAAAATACAAAGGTTTGATAAGCCCCGAGTTTCAGTTACCCGTTACAGACAGATTACTGCCTGAGAAAACACGTGTGGAAAGACCACTGATTAAAGATGGGAAGGACACCTTGAACTCCTCAAACTTTGAACCGGAAGTGATCACAAGGTCCAGCCCACTGAGGTTTTGCAACGTTTTTTGAAATATTTATTTAACAGAGCGGAATTGGAAGAGAGAAGCCTAACTCGACGGAAAATATGTCTCCCTCCAGTAGGTGGCAGTTTTTTGTTGTTTCGCCCACAAAGCAAGTTTTTGTATGGAGGTCAATGAGTGTCGAATTTGGTCAACAAAACAATGTATGGCTTATTTTATACGTGAGGTTTATTTGATCCAAAATAAGTTTCGTAATGCTTAAGTTGTTACGAGTGTACTGATATAAGTAGGACACGTGACATCCCAGCAACTTTGAGAAAAAAGTATCGAGATGGCTATGCATATTCATAGCTGAGGCTAGTAGCATAGCATCTCTCTCCATTGAATACAGGTAATTGACGTCAACAACCCTCATCGAATATTTAAAATAGGATTACAATAATTAGATGTATCCACCAATCCAAAGAAATGAAAGGCAGGAGCTGACAGCCCACCTTGCCGCTTTGCCCATCGTTAGGGTGGAGAGGAAGGAATACCTGGGATAGGATAAAGTAATCCTTCTACCCGCCCTTACCCCACCCACCAAAAAATAAAAAAATATTCTAAAGTGGTTATCCCACTGGCTATAAGACGAATGCACCAATTTGTAAGTCGCTCTGGATAAGAGCGTCTGCTAAATGACGTAAATGTAAATGTAATCCATAATCTTTGGTATTAAAGATGCGCTATGCAGAAATCGTACCACCATTTCCCGGTAGTTACAATTCTAATAGTTCTCCTAATATCAGTTTATTTGACAAAACAAGAAAGATAATCATTGTACCATCTAAACCACTGTGAAATATTTGTTCCATAACCAAAAATATTGTATTTTCAGTTGTTTGAAGCCGGTGTAAAAATGAAATGTAAGAACGGGAAGCATAGAAGAAGGCGCATAGAGCAGATCTACCGCTTCTTAGACTTGCTTTCAATGAGAATGCCAGATCTAAATTTATAACTGTGAATTTGGTCAGGTTGCACACAAAAAATACATATCACAGCTTTAATAGTCAATGCATATATTGACTTCAGAAAGTATTCATACCCTCTGACCTACTCCACATTTGTTTTGTTACAGCTTGAATTCAAAATTGATTAAATTACTTTTTTCCCCCACACCCATCTACACACAATAGCCCATAATGACAAAGTGAAAACTTTTTTGGGGGACATTTTTATAAAGGTATTGAAAATGAAATACATAAGTATTCACACCCCTTTGTCGGTGATTACAGGTTTGAGTAATCGCCATATCTATGTCTGTATCAGCTTTGCACATCTGGATTTGGGGATTTTCTCCCATTCTTCCTTGCAGATTTTCTCAAACTCTGTTAAATTAGATGGAGAGCGGCGGTAAACTGAAATCTTCAAGTCTTTCCACAGATTATTATCATTATTTTATTTTTGTGAATTTTACCCCCTTTTTCTCCCCAATTTCGATCTTGTCTCAGCGCTGCAACTCCCCAACAGGCTCAGGAGGTAAAGGTCGAGTCATGCGTCCTCCGAAACATGACCAGCCAAACCGCGCTTCTTAACACCCGCCCGCTTAACCCAGAAGCCAGCTGCACCAATGTGTCGGAGGAAACATGGTCCTCTGTAGCTCAGCTGGTAGAGCACGGCGCTTGTAACGCCAAGGTAGTGGGTTCGATCCCCGGGACCACCCATACACAAAAATATATATGCACGCATGACTGTAAGTCGCTTTGGATAAAAGCGTCTGCTAAATGGCATATTATTATTATTATTATAAACACTGTTCAACTGACGACCGAGGTCAACCTGCAGGTGCCCAGCCCACCACAAGGAGTCGCTAGAGCACGATAAGCCAAGTAAAGCCCCCCCCGACCAAACCCTCCCTTAACCCTCCCCTAACTCAGGTGCATCTAATTTCAAAGGAAATTGGATGCACCTGAGCTCAATTTGGAATATCATAGCAAAGGGGTGTGAATACTTATGTAAATGAGATTCTGTGTTCTGATGACACAAAAATCTAAATCTTTGGCCTGAATGCAAAGCGCTATGTCTGGAGAAAACCAAGCACAGCTCATCACCAGTCTAACATCATCACTACCGTGAAGCATGGTGGTGGCAGCATCATGCTATGGGGATGCTTTTCAGCGGCAGGGACTGGGAGACTGGTAAGGATAGAGGGAACAATGAATGGAGCCAAATACAGGCAAATCCTTGATGAGAACTTGCTTCAGAGTGCAAACGACCTTAGACTGGGGTGAAGATTTACATTCCAACAGGACAATGACCCCAAGCATACAGCCAAAGCAACGCTAGAATGGCTACAGAACAAGAATATGAAAATCATTGAGTAGCCCAGCCAAAGCCGACTTGAATCCAATTGAAAATCTGTGGAAAGACTTGAAGATTGCGGTTCACTGCCGCTCCCCATCTAACTTAACAGAGCTTGAGAAAATCTGCAAGGAAGAATGGGAGCAAATCCCCAAATCCAAATGTGCAAAGCTGATACTGACATAGATATACAGACATGGATATAACGATTACTCAAAGCTGTAAAAGGTGCTTCTACAGTACCGGTCAAAGGTTTTAGACCACCTACTTATTCAAAGATTTGTCTTTATTTTTTTTACTATTTTCTACATTGTAGAACAATAGTGAATACATCAAAACTATGAAATAACACATTTGGAATCATGTAGTAAGCAAAAAAGTGTTAAACAAATCAAAATATATTTTATATTTGAGATTCTTCAAATAGCCACCCTTTGCCTTGATGACAGCTTTGCACACTCTTGGCATTCTCTCAACCAGCTTCACCTGGAATGCTTTTCCAACAGTCTTGAAGGAGTTCCCACATATGCTGAGCACTTGTTGGCTGCTTTTCCTTCACTCTGCGGTACGACTCATCCCAAACCATCTCAATTGGGTTGAGGTCGGGGGATTGTGGAGGCCAGGTCATCTGATGCAGCACTCCATCACTCTCCTTCTTGGTCAAACTCCCCTTACACAGCCTGGAGGTGTGTTGGGTCATTGTCCTGTTGAAAAACAAATGATAGTCCCATTAAACCCAAACCAGATGGGATGGCCTATCGCTGCAGAATGCTGTGGTAGCCATGCTGGTTAAGTGTGCCTTGAATTCTAAATAAATCACAGACAGTGTCACCAGCAAAGCACCCCCACACCATAACACCTCCTCCTCCGTGCTTTACGGTGGGAAATACACATGCGGAGATCATCCGTTCACCCACACCGTGTCTCACAAAGACACGGCAGTTGGAACCAAAAGTCTCCAATTTGGACTCCAGACCAAAGGACAAATTTCCATTGCTTGTGTTTCTTGGCCCAAGCAAGTCTCTTCTTATTGGTGTCCTTTAGTAGTGGTTTCTTTGCAGCAATTCGACCATGAAGGCCTGATTCACAGTCTCCTCTGAACAGTTGATGTTGAAATGTGTCTGTTACTTGAACGCTGCGAAGCATTTATTTGGGCTGCAATTTCTGAGGCTGGTAACTCTAATGAACTTATCCTCTGCAGCAGAGGTGAATCTGGGTCTTCCTTTCTTGTGGTGGTCCTCATGAGAGCCAGTTTCATCACAGCGCTTGATGGTTTTTGCGACTGCACTTCAATAAATTTTCAAAGTTCTTGAAATGTTCCGTATTGACTGACTTTCATGTCTTAAAGTAATGATGGACTGTCATTTCTCTTTGCTTATTTGAGCTGTTCTTGCCATAGTATGGACTTGGTATTTTACCAAATAGGGCTATCTTCTGTATACACCCCCCCCCCCCCCGTTAATTGAAATGCATTCCAGGTGACTACCTCATGAAGAAGCTGGTTGAGAGAATGCCAAGAGTGTGCAAAGCTTTCATCAAGGCAAAGGGTGGCTATTTCAAGAATCTCAAATATAACATATATTTTGATTTGTTTAACACTTTTTTGCTTACTACATGATTCCATGTGTTACTAAATAGTTGATGTCTTCACTATTATTCTACAATGTAGAAAATAGTAAAAATAAAGAAAAACCCTTTTATGAGTAGGTGTTCTAAAACCTTTGACCGGTAGTGTACAATGACTCAGGGGAGTGAATACTTATGTAAATGAGAGATTTCTGCATTTTATTTTCAATACATTTGCAAAAATGTCTAAAAACATGTTGTTACTTTGTCATTATGGGGTATTGTGTTTAGATGGGTGTGAAAAAAATCTAATTTAATCAATTTTGAATTCAGGCTGTCAGGGATCAGCCATTATTGACAGCAACCCTGGAGCAATTACTGCAACTCGCTGTTGGCTGGGCTCCCTGCCTGTGCCATTAAACCCCTACAACTCATCCAGAATGCAGCAGCCTGTCTGGTGTTCAACCTTCCCAAGTTCTCTCACGTCACCCCCCTCCTCCGCACACTCCACTGGCTTCCAGTTGAAGCTCGCATCTGCTACAAGACCATGGTGCTTGCCTACGGAGCTGTGAGGGGAACGGCACCTCCGTACCTTCAGGCTCTGATCAGTCCCTACACCCAAACGAGGGCATTGCGTTCATCCACCTCTGGCCTGCTGGCCCCCCTACCTCTGCGGAAGCACAGTTCCCGCTCAGCCCAGTCAAAACTGTTCGCTGCTCTGGCACCCCAATGGTGGAACAAGCTCCCTCACGACGCCAGGACAGCGGAGTCACTCATCACCTTCCGGAGACACTTGAAACCCCACCTCTTTAAGGAATACCTGGGATAGGATAAAGTAATCATTCTACCCCGCCCTTACCCCACCCCACCCCCACAAAAAATAAATAAACATATTGTAAAGTGGTTATCCCACTGGCTATAAGGTGAATGTACCAATTTGTAAGTCGCTCTGGATAAGAGCGTCTGCTAAATGACGTAAATGTAAATGGTTAAGTGCCTTGCTCAAGGGCACAGACAGATCTTTCACCTAGTTGGCTCAGGGATTCAAACCAGTGACCTTTTGGTTACTGGCCCAGTGCTATTAACCACTAGGCTTCCTGCCACCTCAAATGATAAACATAATACAGAATATTAGAAGATACTGTACCGTCATACTGTGTCTTCACTTAATCATGCAGTTGAAAAGAGATTCGTTGTTGCAAATAAAACAAAATAATTGAGGAAAAGGTTTTTACTAGAAATACTAGTGGATATAATAACCAGTGTATATCATATAAAGTCACCCTGTCATCTGTTATAATAATCTTCTGACCTTCAACACAGGTCAGGTTGTTCACCATCCAATAAAACAATGCCTCTAAATGCAAATATTCTGAAAACAATGACTTTCCAATCAAATATATTGACATTGGTTATCCATTAAACCGATCACACTCATTGAAACAACCATTCTTGATTGGGGAAACTATTTATCAGCAGATGATCAAATTCTCCATACGAAATCTTCAGCAATCACATATCTTAGATGCACTTCACAATCTAAATGTGGCATCCATTTAGAGTCTACATTTTAGACAATGGTATTTCAGTATTAGGTGAAGGTGAAGAATGGCATGTCCATTACACAACAGACACCCTGTTTAATTCCTGCCCACCTCACACAGCATCAATCCTTCAGTTGCTCTGGACTATACACAAGAATGGAAGAGAACTGATACATTCCATTCCAATCCATCCACAACGTTTGCCAATGTATCAAAAACCTGAGTGTTCAAACCAATCTCTACTATCTCCATGCATAGTATTATCTATTTACGAGTAGAACTACCGGACATGGTTTAACAGGGAATTGTGCACAGTGCTCCAAATTTAACAGGCTAAATGAAGTGACCAACCTCACAATAAACTTTGACCAGAGATCAATGCATCTTCCTTTGGAGCTGCCAGTTAATGTACATTACAGCAGCAGCAAACCATGCATCAGGTAATAAAGAGTGACTGAAGTTGAAACAGCAGATATTTGCGAATTAAAGACATTCAATTCACTCCTTCTACACCACCTCAACTGACAGACGCCATATCGTATTAACCCAGCCACACATACACACAAAAACCTATGCAAAGTGGCTCCTCTATGCAAAAGCAACAGCTGCTTATCATATGTCTAATTAAATACTGTGATATAATATCTAAATATTTCAATATGTCAGCAGAAAATATGTACATGTGGCGTTGATGGTATATACAAGTAACTGCCAAAATAAAGGAAACACCAACATAGTGTCTTAATAGGGCATTGGGCGACCACGAGCCGCCAGAACAGCTTCAATGTACCTTGGCATAGATTTTACAAGTGTCTGGAACTCGGTTGGAGGGATGCGACACCATTCTTCCATGCGAAATTCCATCATTTAGTGTTTTGTTGATTGTGGTGGAAAACGAGATCTCAGGCGCTGCTCCAGAATCTCCCATAAGTGTTCAATTGGGTTGAGATCTGGTGACACGTGCGCACACCCACACACACGCTCGCTTATTTGAGACCCCTCTTTCAAAGTCACTGAAATCCCTTCTTCTAGCCATGGTACCCAAAATAATGGGCAACTGGGCATTTCTATACATGACCGACCCTAAGCATGATGTGATGTTAATTGCTTAATTAAGAGTTAGTGATATCCGGAATCTTTGGGATGTCCCTACTCTAAACCATTTTCAATTTCAACTTCAATGGGATAAGGACGGACCAAGGATCCCGGATAGAAAGGACCCTTAATTAACTCAGGAACCACTCCTGTGTAGAAGGACCTGCTTTCAATATACTTTGTACCCCTCATTTACTCAAGTGTTTCCTTTATTTTGTCAGTTACCTGTATGTCCTGTTTTTTAAGCAAGTGACAAAGAGCCAATAAGTTAGACCAGGCGCCAATATTTAAATATATACAGCTAATTTAAGTCAGTTGTTAAATATATTTGTTTGAAGAAATAACCGTGCCATCCTACTTCTGTGAGTTAATCTATGCTGCTAAGAAACAGGCAAATATTTATAATGAGTGTTTGAACTCAATCATGATGAGACCTCATTTCTGGTTGTGTAGCAAATATGTGGCAACAGGCAATGATTAGGCAATAGCTAGAATAGAGAAAAAAAATGAAGAAAGAATGTCAGCTTGTAACTACAGTTACAGGAGCTTTAGTTTGTAACTTCAGTCACAGACGGGTTAGCTGACGTCACAAAAACGACGTGCACGCTTCAATGGGGAAGAAGGCCATGTGTTGTGATTCTGGATGGCAAGAGAGCTATAAAAAGTGACAATAAGCTGCCATGTGGGGAATCGTATGGGGCTAGTTTCAGCTAGTTTTATCTTGTTCTTGATACCATGTCTTGTTTTGACTGATGTCATGTCTATGCAAATATGATTCAAATTCACTAGCTAGCTAACCAACGACTGTGACAATGTATTTGAGAGACAACGCGTGCTCATTGTGCAAATGTATTTATGTTTTCAATAAACATTGGAGACTAACTATAGTTTACATGTCAACAATCTAAGGCAACCCCGTCTGTTTTGCCCCATTTTGTTGCTAAACAACCAATCCACCTATATGCCAGAGGAATCTAGCTCTTTTGTCGTTCAGCAGACGTCTACTCTAATAAAACATGCTGCTTGTCCATGAAGAGGTAGAAGAAATCACTCAGAAGAACCCTAACCCAGACCCCTCTCTCTTTCAGACCTGTCCAAATGCTAAATGTTCTGCCTTGGACTGGAACACAAGGAGTGCTGAAGAGTCTTTCTATGCTGTGAATCTTTGTGTAAACAAAAACTAGCGATTCAGCAAACAGGAAAGGGTAGAATGTCAATCTTCTTCGCACCATGCTTCCATCCAGTTGTATTGTCACTGGCTTGGGGGTGAGGGGGGAACAGGTGTGTCACTGGTAAGCTAGGTTTGGCTCTACCGTAGTCTCTTGTCACTCCAGAGTTCTGTCCAATCAGAGGCTAGCTCTTGGTGGGGCGGAGCTTCCGGCGGAAGTACTCAGGTGCGGCCTCAACCAGCCAATCAGCATCCACCAGACACAGGTCTCTCATGTAGCACTTGGAGGTGTGCAGGAGCTCATTGAAGACCACGTAGGCGGGCTTGGCCTGGAAGAGGACAGAGGAGGGGTGGATGGCTACAGGCTGGTGGGTGTCCAGGGCCATGTAGCTGCCATCTGGCTGCAACTCTGCAGCGTTTACAAACAGACCGTGGGCCAGACAGCGACGCACGCTCCCCGTGTCCGACCCACACGACTCCAGCTTCATGCTCAGCTGGAACACAGAGGAGAGAATGAGATGGGCATTGTATGAAAAGAGCTAGATCATATGTATATACACAATGGATTTGTTCAGGTGAAAGATATCAATGTAGGAGTTCATCAGCAAGACCTTAAAAGTTTAAACATTGCAGCAAACACATTTGGAAGCATACATTGCAGTGTGCAGATTCCCCTCTTTTGCTGATGAACAGCAATTTTGAGAGAACTGGTTACTTGTGGTGTTATGGATTTGTTTCGGTACCTTGAGGCAGATATCTCGTAGCTGTGCACGGACCTCTCCAACCATGCTCATGTTCCTGCTGTTGACAAAGTTCTCCCGACACCACTCCTACAACACGGAACACACATCAGAGCCTGTGCTGAATCTACACCATCTATAAATGATAACACTGCACAAAGAACATAGGGGCCGGTTTCTCAGACCCAGATTAAGACTACTTCTGGGCTAAAAACAATGCTCAACAGAGAACCTCTATTGAAACTGCATTGAAGCCTGGGAATTTAACTCTATACAGTGCATTCGGAAAGTATTCAGACCCCTTCTCCACATTTTGTTACATTGCAGCCTTATTATAAAATGGATTAAATTAAAATGTCAATCTACACACAATACCCCATAATGACAACGTGAACAGGTTTATAGACATTTTTGCCAATTTATTAAAAATAAAAAACTGAAATACCTTATTTACATAAGTATTCAGACCCTTTGCTATGAGAGACAAAATTAAGCTCAGGTGCATCCTGTTTCCATTGATCATCCTTGAGATGTTTCTACAACTTGATTGGAGTCCACCTGTGGAAAATTCAATTGATTGGACATGATTTGGAAAGGCACACACCTGTCTATATAAGGTCCCACAGTTGACAGTGCATGTCAGCGCAAAAATCAAGCCATGAGGTCGAAGGAATTGTCTGTAGAGCTCCGAGACAGGATTGTGTCGAGGCACAGATCTGGGGAAGGGTACCAAAAAATGTCTGCAGCATTGAAGGTCACCAAGAACACAGTGGCCTCCATCATTCTTAAAATAGAAGAAGTTTGGAACCACCAAGACTCTTCCTAGAGCTGGCCGCCCGGCCAAACTGAGCAATTGGGGGAGAAGTGCCTTGGTCAGGGAGGTGACCAAGAACCTGATGGTCACTCTGACAGAGCTCTAGAGTTCCTCTGTGGAGATGGGAGAACCTTCCAGAAGGACAACCATCTCTGCAGCATTCCACCAATCAGGCCTTTATGGTAGAGTGGCCAGACGGAAGCCACTCCTCAGTAAAAGGCACATGACAGCCCGCTTGGAGTTTGCCAAAAGGCACCTAAAGACTCTCAGACCATGAAAAAAAGATTATCTGATCTGATGAAACCAAGATTGAGTTCTTTGGCCTGAATGCCAAGTGTCACGTCTAGAGGAAACCTGGCACCATCCCTACGGTGAAGCATGGTGGTGGCAGCATCATGCTGTGGGGATGTTTTTCAGCGGCAGGGATTGGGAGACTAGTCAGGATCGAGGGAAAGATGAACGGAGCAAAGTATAGAGATCGTTGATGAAAACCTGCTCCAGAGCGCTCAGGACCTCAGACTGGGCCGAAGGTTCACCTTCCAACAGGACAACGACCCCAAGCACACACGCAAGACAACGCAGGAGTGGCTTCGGGACAAGTCTTTGAATGTCCTTGATTGGCCCAGCCAGAGCCCGGACTTGAACCTGATTGAACAGCTCTGTAGAGACCTGAAAATAGCTGTGCAGCGACGCTCCCCATCCAACCTGACAGAGCTTGAGATGATCTGCAGAGAGGAATGGGAGAAACTCCAAATACAGGTGTGCCAAGCTTGTAGCGTCATACCCAAGAAGACTCAAGGCTAAAAACGCTGCCAAAGGTGCTTCAACAAAGTACTGAGTAAAAGGTCTGAATACTTATGTAAATGTGATATTTCCGTTTTTTATTTTGAATACATTTTCAAAAGAAATTAGACGTGTTTGTGCTTTGTCATTATGGGGTAATGTGTGTAGATTGACGAGTGGAAAAAAACTATTCAAATCCATTTAAGAATAAGGCTGTAATGTAACAAAATGTGGAAAAAGTCAAGGGGTCTGAATACTTTCCGAATGCACTGTATGTGCAGAGGTACTGTATACAGCTGATCCTAGATTGTATAGAGACTCCCACAGGCTTCTTCTTCCTAGAGTGATCCACTGACCTTGTTGGCGTTCACTTTCTTGAAGGCTCTGTAGATGTTGAGCAGGGTCAAGTGATCTCCCTCGCTGGTGGTGAACTTCTTGCGTGCGGCAAGACACTCCTCTCGGCGTGCGGGGGGGTTGTAGAGCACCGTGTCCACCGACAGCAGAGACACGATGGTCAGCACCTCCTCAGAACACTGGAAGTCTGGCGACAGCAGGATGGTCTGTAGACGAGAGAGAGAGAGAGATACAGCGAGGGAGAACGTGTTAACACATTATTTATTGTTGCTCATGGATCAATACAAACAACCTCCAATAAAAAGGCCCCTTTCCTGTGTGTCTGTGTCTTACCTTGGCATAGCGTGGCTCCAGGGGGAAGCTGGCCATCTTCTTGCCCAGAGGAGTGAGGGTGACCTGCTCATCTTTCCTCTCCACAGCCCCTAGCAGATGCAGCTGCTCCACCGCCGTACGCATCGCCTCTGAACAGTCATATTAACATTACGTTACTACAGCCTACTCTGAACTGTCACATCACACCCACAACATTACGTTATTACAACCAACTCTGACCAAACACGTCGACCACATGACACTATTACAACAAGATGAATGCAATAACTAAATGTACGTCGCTCTGGATAACAGTCTGCTAAATGACTAAAATGTAAATGTAATTACAGTTGTACAACTAACTCCTATATGAGTCTACATATCAGTGGATTCATTGAATACCCATTTTAATGGATTACAACACTTCTGAAGACGTTAACATCACAGTGAACACACAGCAGACCTGGGACCGGAGGACAGACTGCTTACCAGGAGAAGGCTTAGACATGAAGTCAAAGTTCATCACGTCAGGAATCCCCAGAGCCAGAAGCTGCAGCATGACACTGGCCAGGTTACACCTACAGAGGAGAACACAGGAGCAGAACAGTTACCCCTGCAGAGGAGAGAACAGAGGAGCAGAACACTCACTCATAATGACTTAGAGATGTAACAACTTATGCTGCAGCAAGAACTGGGTGGTGTTCATTAGGGCAATGAAAACGAGCGTTTCTTATTAGACATGTTAAGGTACCTCACCATTTCGTGCCTACTGAAAATGACCCTGTTCTCTTTTAACCGGTGAACAGTGACAGTAACTAGATTTGCTTCGGCTTCTCATTTGCTCTATACACACACATGGTGGTCCTACCGACCTCTGTATCTCAGGCACGGTCATGGGGATGAGGTTGTCAAACTCGTCCTCGGTGTAGAGACGGTAGACAGAGCCTGAGTCCTCTCTGCCAGCCCTGCCCGCCCTCTGCCACGCCTGGGCTTTAGATACGCGCTGTACTGCTAACACCTCCAGACCACTCTCTGGGGGCAGACAGAAACACATTACAAATAATGAGTAACACAACTAAAATAAGTCTGTAGACTTTATTATATATGTTTTTATCTTCAATGATTTTTAAACGTGTAATTTTGTTTTATCATAGTTGAAAAATCATATTTCGAAAATATTGAATTTTATTTGATAATTCGAGTTAATTCATGTATTTATTCACACTCACACCAGGGCCACAGACCTGAGTGACACGCAAGTAGAGAAACAGAATTTAAAAAGCATTGTGTACAGTCAGTGAGGAATCTCACCTGGGTTGAAGCGTTTCGCTTTCACCATGCCTGTATCAATTACGTATTTGATCCCCGAGATGGTGATCGACGTCTCAGCAATGTTGGTTGAGAGAATTACTTTCCTACAACCCTGGCAAAACAATACAGTTGCTTGAGGAGACCATGTATCACATGTATACAGTGCCTTCAGAAAGTATTCATACCCCTTTACTTATTTCCACATTGTTGTTATAGCCTGAATTCAAAATTAAAACATAACTCCACTTTGACATGAGGTATTTTTATTTTTTTAATTTATTTTTATTTAACCTTTATTTAACCAGGTAAGCCAGTTGAGAACAAGTTCTCATTTATAACTGCGACCTGGCCAAGATAAAGCAAAGCAGTGCGATAAAAACAACACAGAGTTACACATGGGATAAAACAAAAACCTACAGTCAATAACACAATAGAAAATCTATATACAGTGTGTGCAAATGTAGTAAGTTATGGAGGTAAGGCAATAAATAGGCCATAGTGCAAAATAATTACAATTTAGTATTAACACTGGAGTGATAGATGTGCAGAAGATGATGTGCAAATAGAGATACTGGGGTGCAAATGAGCAAAATAAATAACAATATGGGGATGAGGTAGTTGGGTGGGCTAATTACAGATGGGCTGTGTACAGGTGCAGTGATCGGTAAGCTGCTCTGACAACTGATGCTTAAAGTTAGTGAGGGAGATAAGTGTCTCCAGCTTCAGATATTTTTGCAGTTCGTTCCAGTCATTGGCAGCAGAGAACTGGAAGGAATGGCGGCCAAAGGAGGTGTTGGCTTTGGGGATGACCAGTGAGATATACCTGCTGGAGCGCATACTACGGGTGGGTGTTGCTATGGTGACCAATGAGCTAAGATAAGGCGAGGATTTGCCTAGAAGTGATTTATAGATGACCTGGAGCCAGTGGGTTTGGCGACGAATATGTAGTGAGGGCCAGCCAACGAGAGCGTACAGGTCACAATGGTGGGTAGTATATGGGGCTTTGGTGACAAAATGGATGGCACTGTGATAGACTACATCCAAAATCCGGAGTAGAGTGTTGGAAGCTATTTTGTAAATGACATTGCCGAAGTCAAGGATTGGTAGGATAGTCTGTTTTACGAGGGCATGTTTGGCAGCATGAGTGAAGGAGGCTTTGTTGCGAAATAGGAAGCCGATTCTAGATTTAACTTTGGATTGGAGATGCATAATGTGAGTCTGGAAGGAGAGTTTACGGTCTAACCAGACACCTAGGTATTTGTAGTTGTCCACATATTCTAAGTCAGACCCGCCGAGAGTAATGATTCTAGTCGGGCGGGCGGGTGCAAGCAGCGTTCAATTGAAGAGCATGCATTTAGTTTTACTAGCGTTTAAGAGCAGTTGGAAGCCACGGAAGGAGTGTTGTATGGCATTGAAGCTTGTTTGGAGGTTTGTTAACACAGTGTCCAGTGAAGGGCCAGATGTATACAAAATGGTGTTGTCTGCGTAGAGGTGGATCTGAGAGTCACCAGCAGCAAGAGCGACATCATTGATATACACAAAGAATAGAGTCGGCCCGAGATTTGAACCCTGTGGCACCCCCATAGAGAATGCCAGAGGTCCAGACAACAGGCCCTCCGATTTGACACATTGAACTCTATCTGAGAAGTAGTTGGTGAACCAGGCGAGGCAGTCATTTGGTGAACCAGGCGAGGCAGTCATTTGAGAAACCAAGGCTATTTAGTCTGCCAATAAGAATGCGGTGATTGACAGAGTCAAAAGCCTTTGCCAGGTTGGTATTGTGTGTAGGCCATTGAAACAACATCTCAATTTAATCCATTTTAAATTCAGGCTGTAACGCAACAAAATGTGGAAAAAGTCAAGGGGTGTGAATACTTTCTGAAGGCACTGTAGATGACAGCAGGACATGGAGGGGCATGTAGGTGTAGCCTACCTTAGGTGCGGGCTGGAAGACCCTGAGCTGCTGAGCAGGGGGCAGGGAGGCGTACAGGGGGATGACGGTCATGGGACCACAGCCGTCAGGGAGGTGCTTGGCGATGTCACGGCAGGTACGGGCCAGCGCCTCTATCTCCTCCTGACCCGTCATGAACACCAGGATGTCATGTGACGCAGGGGCTTCCTGTTTAGAATGGACGCATCACAACCACATCCTGTCTGTTATCAAATGCTGATTTGGAATCATGTCTCTAACTTGTTTACAGAAAGGTATGATTCATGTTAGTTATAAGGTTGAGTAGTGATAGGAGTAGTAGCCTGGTTAAAGAAGACTGAACTAGTGAGTGCAGCGTTCAGTCTGGTTTAACCAGGCCAGGTGTCTGGGCCATCTTTAACTGAATCAACTCTTTCTACATGAGACGTTTCTCTTCAGCTAAAGCACTGTGTCCACCCAGCAACCAGGCCAGCCAGAGCACACCTACGTACCTGATGGATCTGGAAGACTGAGACCAGTGCAGCCTGCAGATAGTCAGACTGGGGTTGCTTGGTGTAGTAGACCTGGATGGGGTGCTGCCTGCCCTCCAGGTACAGCACAGGAGACTTGTTGAAGTACTGAGAGAAGAGGTCCACATCCATGGTGGCTGACATCACGATCACCTAGAATGGTACGTTGAAGAGACAATATATCAGATGTATTTATAAAGTGCTTTTACAGTAAGAACAAGACTTCAAGCCACCAGTCTTAAGGTGGTCTTGGCAGAGTATTGTTGACATTGTACATCTGTACTTTGGGTGCTTTGAAGAAGAATGGAACATCAGCCCGGGGGGGGGGGGGGGGGGGGGGGGGGCGAGGGCACCCACACACACACTTATGTTAATAAACACAACCAGCCTATGACAAACATTTTCTATGTAGCCTAACGTTAGTGACCTAGCCTGAAATTCAAAGTGATATGTTCTGTTTCACCATTGTTTCAGATCATATCAGTTTGGATTCCAGGCTACTGAGTCTAGTAGTGACCTACCTTGAGGGGGATCTTGTTCTGTTCTCTACGTTTGCGCTGGGCAGCCTTCACCACTCCAAACAACACGTCAGTGTGCACCGTGCGCTCGTGAGCCTCATCCAGCACCACCACAGTGTAGCGCAGCAGTAATGGGTCTCCTATGGCCTCCCGCAGGAGCATACCGTCTGTCATGAACTTTAGCTTTGTCTCTGAGGAGGTGACATCCTCGAATCGCACCGTGTAGCCAACCTGAAGAGCATGATTGAATTTCCTGTTAGGCCTATCTTGATTGTTTGGTAATGGTAACAGTCCATTCCCATATATGCAGCCCTGCTGCTGCCCCTCGACCATTGATGATGATCTAGGCTGCGAGGGAAAGTACGCTAACCACATCACTGCTATTTGATGCGTGTTCAAAATGTGTCTGTTTTTTTTTACCATAGAGTTTGACCACTGATTGTAATGTAAAAGGTTGTTTTTATGTACCAGCTTCCCCAGTTGAGTTCTCTTCTCCTCTGCCACCCTCGATGCCAGGGAGATAGCTGCCACTCGGCGGGGCTGTGTGACTGCAACTATGCCCTGTCGCCCGATGCCAGCTTCATACAAGTACTGAGGGATCTGGGTGGTCTTCCCAGAACCAGTCTCACCTGAGGGACAGGGCATCACAAGACAATGGTTTGTCAGCTAGGTAGCTAACGTTATAATAGTTGAAGGCAAAATCTACAGTATTTGCAACCACATGAACAAGAAAGTCAACGTTGTTAAATCAGGTGAACAGGTGAGTCCTGGGGTTTAGTCACTAGGAACCAAACAGAAGCAAACTGAATGAAACAGGGAGAGCTTGGTGATTCAGTGGGTTGAAATTTGAGACAAAATATCCACAGGAAAGTATTAAACTGACTTTAAAACGCGGGTCTCTATGTTTGGCTGGCAATCAAGATGTGTTTGCTCATAACCTAAGGCATGTGCACAAGACGGAAGTACATGCACGTGATGCATGCATATTAACCAAAGTTTTGCAGGTGTTTACATGGTTTTGTGCGTGTGCCAGGTGATAGAAATTTCAACGACAGACCCGTGAGAGGAGTCTAGCTGCAGACATCTTCTCTCAGGCCAATCTCTCAGTTCTGTTTACGTTACGGCGAGGGAAGTAGCTAGCTAGCTAGTTAGGACATCGGTACACAGTGTCCCTCGCCCCACCTGCCGAGCACTGTTTTCTTGCAGTTCTGTTAACGTTACATCTGCTATTCAACGTATCAACAGATTACACATACATTTTAAGAGAAAACATTACAAATAGATTATACTACAATGATGGCATAACCTAAACCAGGGGTGTCAAACATACAGCCTGTGGGACCCCCCCCCCCCCCCCCTCCAATCTGGCCAGCGGGTGATTGTAGCAAAAAAAAAAATAGTAATATGTTTAGTAAAAAAGTTGAGGGGGGGACGCGGGAACAAACTCAATATACTTTAAAATGACTAAAACCAAATCGAAATGGTGTAGAAATTAAGGGACCTATATTCATACAGTTTCTAGACGGTCCAGCTCGCTAAGAATCACTAGACAGTAAGGGAGCATTGAAAATTCCAAAAATGATGGATAGAGGACAATTTTTAGCAAATTTGAAAGGCAAGGAAATATAACCAATTTTCAGTGCGGCCTTCCGGACCTCGTTGAAGAATGCCGCCCCCGGGGCAAAATGAGTTCGACACCCATGGCCTAAACGAAAAATTTCCTTTTGACACACATTTTAAATCTCAAGAGACAATCTGGGGAAATCCAGAATATCAAAAGTGTCAGTTAAACACAAACATTAAGATCCCCGCTACAAAGCCTACAAGCTGTAAAACTACAGTAACATTAATTTTCATTCAACACCGAAAACTCGTCTCACCAGCAGGTGGCAGTATAGTCATATCATTGAGGGGCCTGGTGTTGGAGATGGCCCTGAGAGATAAAGGGCCTGAGCGATGATGTCTAAATTCGTTCCACTAGTAGGTGGCAATATATAGAGTGGCCTGAGAGATGATGGTCCTGCCACCAGAAAACGATCTAGCACGTTGGGGGCGATGAAACAACGGAGCCCCATTCATTTTCAATGAAGGGAAGCGAAGTGGGCGAGGGGACCGTTGGGGCGACGCCAGCATTTGCGAGGGAGCGGGACCAAAGTTGGGGGATAGCTGAACTCTTGTCAAGTACGCTGTGACATCGCGTTGCTATTGACCAATCGAAGCTCACTATAGTTTCCAGCCCCTTATTGGATTCAATAATGTCTATCTGCATACTGCGGTTGCTACATGCTGTGCCCACTACGCTTCACTTACTACATGCCGCGCCCACGGCCATTGAGGCTGCTAGCACTGTCTCTGGTCCACACTTCAGCACAGTAGGTGGTGGTAATGCACCAATGTCGGATGCCAACCACCGAAAAACCCTACCGAAGAAGGAGGCTGCTAGCTAGGGGCAACGGTACAGTGTCCCCCACCTACCAAGCACTGTTTTCCCACAGTTCTGTTAACGTTACGGCGAGGGAAGTACACTATATATACAAAAGTATGTGGACACCCCTTCATATTAGTGGATTCGGCTATTTCAGCAACACCCGTTGATGACATGTGTATAGTTGGTCAAATGTCTGCCCTGCTAGAGCTGCCCAGGTCAACGGTAAGTGCTGTTATTGTGATGTGGAAACATCTAGGAGCAACAACGGCTCAGCCGCGAAGTGGTAGGCCACACAAGCTCACAGAATGGGACTGCGGAGTGCTGAAGCACACTCGGTTGCAACACTCACTACCGAGTTCCAAATTAACGCTGGAAGCAACGTCAGCACAATAACTGTTCGTCAGGAGCTTCATAAAATGGGTTTCCATGGCTGAGCACAAGCCTAAGATCACCATGCGCAATGCCAAGTATCGGCTGGAGTGGTGTAAAGCTCGCCGCCATTGGACTGTGGAAATACATTCTCTGGAGTGATGAATCACCGCTCAAGGACATGTGTTCTGCTACAAAGATGTCTGAGGTTGCTGACTGGAGACAAGTTGCAAAACAACTAACACCTGACAACAGTGAAGCGCCATGGGGCTGGGACCAGCCTGAGCGCCAGCGATAGGCTGGGTAAGTTTAAACCACGCCTAGCCTATATTCTGACAGGCCCAGCAGGGAGCGGGAACTATCTCTGTCAGAGTATTTAAAGAAGAACTTATAACAAAAGCTCAGTTCTCTGTCTGCCCTGCGTGGTATTTCAGTGAGCCCGTATACGAACTCTCATACTTACCATTTAAACATTTGCATTAATAAAATACTAGTCTAGAAGACGTGTATTGACCTCTTTTTGTTCCTATACCAGATTTGAATTGACGCAACTTAACACTAGCTAGCAGCCTCACAATGGCAGTGGGCGCGGCATGTAGTAACGCAGTCTGCAGACAGAGCATTTTCACTGGATTGGCTGTTGATACCTAGCACTACCTAGCCTGCTTGCTAGCACCGACAGGAGGGCGAAGCTAGCGTGGCTATCCAATTAGTGGATCACTGCTGTGAGAGATGTCTGGAGTTAGACTATTGGTACAGGCGCTCTAGAAAGTCAGGTAAATAATATTTTTCTGTAGATATTTTGTCTCAAATTTCGACCCACACAGACAACCGGTAGAGTAAATTCAAATGTAATTTTATTCAACATTCTGGCTTGTAAGGAAACTTTCCACGTTTTTGCAGTGCTTTGTTTCAGACTGTATACCAACAATTGGTATCACAGTCTGATTTCTTAGGCAAAGGCATGGAGAGCATACAATTTGGAACTATGATGTCAGTCTACGGTAATTACATCCTTGCTATGATTTGATCTTTGCCGCTAATAAATAGGCAAAAAATCTAATCAAAGACCTGAGTCTGGAAAGCGGCTATGTTCATGTTTTGCACGCGTTTAGCTATGAACACTGAGAAGGGTGCAATTGCGGCCTGCAATTCGGGGCGTTCCTGCATCTGCAGGAACCCCACTTTATTATTCTATTGGTCAATTTTTAAGCTAGGGACAGGCGGGAGCGCTCCAGTCCAGTTGGTGGCGTTAATGCACAATAACGTTGGGTGCCAGCCGCCGAGAAACCCCACAGAAGAAGGGGCGGGGGTGTCAACGCCGGTAGCTAGCTAGCCATACACCGGTAGACAGTGTCCTTCGTCCCTGCCTGTCGGGCACGGTTTTCCCACAGTTCTGTTAACGACGGCGAGGGCAGGTGTTCGGCAGGAGGGAGCGAAGGACACTGTGCTTGCTTAGCCAGCTAGTCCGGTACACAGCAGGCGCTAGCGACAGTGTGCTAGCTAGCTAACTAGCAAACGGTGTCCCTAACTAGCAAGCTAGCTAGTTAACACACGGTTTCGCCCCAGCCTCCTGTGCTAGCCCCCGTGTGTTGAGAAAGGTTTTCTCCGGCACATGCTGGGATGGCCCGAATTGGAGGCTGCAGTTGCACACTATTGTGAACATTTACAATATCACCTGTGCTGTGTAACATTTTAGTCATTTAGCAGACGCTCTTATCCAGAGCGATTTACAGTTAATACATTCATCTTAAGATAGCTAGGTGGGACAACCACATATCAAAGGCATAGTAAGTACACTTTTCCTCAATAAAGTAGTTATAAACAAAGTCGAAGTTAAGGGAGGGGGGGGGGTCAAGTGGAAGTGTTGGTTCAGGAAAGTTTTTCTGGCGGGAGGGGTCGAGGTGAGGGGGATTATTGACTAGGTTGAGCCAACTTACCTATCAAGACAGCATTATGAAGCTGTCTAAGTTGGTTAATGAGTTGAGACTTCGCCTGGTAAATAGGAAGATTTTTCCTTTGCACGTCTATTGGTACCGATGCATTTCCCTTTCTAGGTAGCAGCATCCCAGGCTTCTTGTCGAGACGGAAAAAAGGAGACCCCGGCTTAAATTTCTTCGCCGGAGGATGATCGGGGTTGTGGGGCATGGTCTAGAAACACGCTATACAAAATAAACTTTCAGGCTTATTCTCAAAGCTTGTCCAAAAGGAAATTAAATTTAGCAAATACAGCCGAGCTACACAGATGTTGTTTACCTCATCGACACAGCTAAATCCTTCACACGTGGTACATTCCGTCGCAGGAGTTTGACGTCATTGGACCCTCTAACGGCGCCAGTGTACAATGACAATCGAGGCCTACACCTATCCTCCACGGCAGCCTTGCGTCAAATCAGCCTCATTACGCGCGCGAGATGGCGCTGCCGAGCAAGCTGAAACATCATTACGCAAGCAAACGCTGACTCGAGAGCGCAGAGGATGGGTATAGAACTGTATGCAAATAAACATGGTTCAAACGTGTTAAAAATACATTTTAAAGCATCAAATTGTCCACCAATAATAGTCACGTCTTTGTCAAGTTTCACTTTCAATGTCTTGGCACCTTTGGGTTTCAATTTGTATTTTTTCTCGATTGGATTTTCAGTTGGGCGGGCTTAGAGGCGTGTCTAGAAACTTTAGATTGGTCACTTATGGCAGAGAGGAAGAGTAAGAGAGGTCCAACTCGGCGGAAATTCTGCCTCCTCCAGCAGGTGGCGTTTTTTCGTTGTTTCACCCACCAAGCAAGACATTTTTGTATGGTCAATGAGAGTGTCGAATATGGTCAACAAAAAATGAATGGCTTATTTGCTACGTGAGGTTTATAGCCTTTTGGACCTAGACTTGGCGCTCTGGTACCGCTTGCCGTGCGGTAGCAGAGAGAACAGTCTATGACTAGGGTGGCTGGAGTCTTTGATAATTTTTAGGGCCTTCCTCTGACACCGCCTGGTATAGAGGCCCTGGATGGCAGGAAGCTTGGCCCCAGTGATGTACTGGGCCGTACGCACTACCCTCTGTAGTGCCTTGCGATCGGAGGCCGAGCAGTTGCCATACCAGGCGGTGATGCAACCGGTCAGGATGCTCTCGATGGTGCAGCTGTATAACTTTTTGAGGATCTGAGGACCCATGCCAAATGTTTTCAGTCTCCTGAGGAGGAATAGGCTTTGTCGTGCCCTCTTCACGACTGTCTTGGTGTGTTTGGACCATGATAGTTTGTTGGTGATGTGGACACCAAGGAACATGAAGCTCTCAACCTGTTCCACTACAGCCCGTCGATGAGAATGGGGGCGTGCTCAGTCCTCTTTTTTTCCCCTGTAGTCCACAATCATCTCCTTTGTCTTGATCACGTTGCGGGAGAGGTTGTTATCCTGGCACCACACGGCCAGGTCTCTGACCTCCTCCCTATAGGCTGTATCATCGTTGTCGGTGATCAGGCCTCCCACTGTTGTGTCATCGGCAAACTTAATGATGGTGTTGGAGTCATGCCTGGGTGAACAGGGAGTACAGGAGGGGACTGAGCACACACCCCTGAGGGGCCCCCGTGTTGAGGATCAGCGTGGCAGATGTGTTGTTACCTACCCTTACCACCTGGGGGCGGCCCGTCAGGAAGTCCAGGATCCAGTTGCAGAGGGAATTGTTTAGTCCCAGGGTCCTTAGCTTAGTGATGAGCTTTGAGGGCACTATGGTGTTGAACGCTGAGCTGTAGTCAATGAATAGCATTCTCACGTAGGTGTTCCTCTTGTACAGGTGGGAAAGGGCGGTGTGGAGTGCAATAGAGATTGCATCATCTATGGATCTGTTGGGGAGGTATGCAAATTGGAGTGGGTCTAGGGTTTCTGGGATACTGGTGTTGATGAGAGCCATGACCAGCCTTTCAAAGCACTTCATGGCTACAGACGTGAGTGCTACGGGTCGGTAGTCATTTAGGCAGGTTATCTTAGTGTTCTTGGGCACAGGGACTATGGTGGTCTGTTTGAAACATGTTGGTATTACAGACTCAGTCAGGGACAAGTTGAAAATGTCAGTGAAGACACTTGCCAGTTGGTCAGCGCATGCTCAGAGTACACGTCCTGGTAATCCATCTGGCCCTGCGGCCTTGTTAATGTTGACCTGCTTAAAAGTCTTACTCACATCGGCTACAGAGAGCGTGATCACATAGTAATCCGGAACAGCTGATGCTCTCATGCATGCTTCAGTGTTGCTTGCCTCGAAGCGAGCATAGAAGTGATTTATCTCGTCTGGTAGGCTTGTGTCACTGGGCAGCTCGCGGCTGTGCTTCCCTTTGTAGTCTGAAATAGTTTTCAAGCCCTGCCACATCCCACGAGCGTCAGAGCCGGTGTAGTACGATTCAATCGTATTGTTTTAATATTTTATATATATATTTTTTTTCAAATCCTTTTTTCAAATATATTTCCCTTTATTACTTTCCAACCCCACCACCCCTTCCCTAGTGGAGTAAACTAGTGAGCAACAATGCTTAGGCCTCTACTTCCAGCTTATACATACTATATACATTTTATGGACACAGTCAATTTTACAATAATTATATTTTGTTTGTTTTTACTCCTGAACTTCCTGTACCCTCAACCTCTCCAATCATTTTCATGATGTCCATCCGGTTTGCTTCTATATGCCCATATCTTTCTAACTGTGCTCTTTCACAAAGCTCTCAACCTATAACCTATATACTTATTATGGACACAGTATGCTTACATTATTAGTTATCTTGTTGTTGTTAGTTGTTAGTTCCATCCTTCAACTCCATTCAACACCACCCATCTATCTCTTAACACCATCCATATTGAATTTCTATTTGCCATATATTTTTCAACTGTACTGTGATGTTTTACAAAAGTTCTGAACCTTTCAATCTTAGTCCTGTATTGACTCTTTGCCTGTTTGATGGTTTGTCGGAGGGCATAGCGAGATTTCTTATAAGCGTCCAGAAAAGTTTGTAGGCAGTGTGCACATGGCCTGTCTTCTCTTGAGAGTCAGGTCTGCCTACGGCGGCCTCTCTCAATAGCAAGGCTATGCTCACTGAGTCTGTACATAGTCAAAGCTTTCCTTAAGTTTGGGTCAGTCACAGTGGTCAGGTATTCTGCCACTGCGCACTCTCTGTTTAGGGCCAAATAGCATTCTAGTTTGCTCTGTTTTTTTGTTAATTCTTTCCAATGTTTCAAGTAATTATCTTTTTGTTTTCTCATGATTTGGTTGGGTCTAATTGTGTTGCTGTCCTGGGGCTCTGTGGGATCTGTTTGTGTTTGTGAACAGAGCCCCAGGACCAGCTTGCTTAGGGGACTCTTCACCAGGTTAATATCTCTGTAGGTGATGGCTTTGTTATGGAAGGTTTGGTGGTTGTAGAATTTTACAGCTCTTTTCTGGATTTTGATAATTGGCGGGAATCGGCCTAATTCTGCTCTGCATGCATTATTTGGTGTTTTACGTTGTACACAGGATATTTTTGCAGAATTCTGCATGCAGAGTCTCAATTTGGTGTTTCTCCCTTTTTGTGAATTCTTGGTTGGTGAGCGGACCAACCAAGAATGGGTTCTATAACTGATCATTTTGAGGGCATAGAAAGGCCGTTCTTGCCTTGTCTCTCAGATCGTTCACAGCTTTGTGGAAATTACCAGTGGAGCTGATGTTTAAGCCGACATCTCTCACCATTGAATACAGGTGGTTGACGTCAACAACCGTCATCAAATATTAAAAAAATTAGATGTATCCACCAATCCAAAGAAAGGATAGGCGGGAGGAGGTAGACAGCCCACCTTGCTGCTTTGTGGACAACAACTCCCATTGTTAGGGTGGAGAGATGTATCTTGTCAGTGCCTTACGATGGCACCGGAGAAGATGGCTGCCGTTTTACAGCCCTCTAACCAATTCTACTATTATGTGTGTTTTTTGGCGTTATTTGTAATTTATTCTGTACATAATGTTTCTGCCACCGTCTGTTATGACCAAAAATAGCTTCTGGATATCAGGACAGTGATTACTCACCTCGTATTGGACGAAGATTTTTTCTTCAACGAGTCGGATGCGAAGGATATCCTACAGACACCCGACAAGGCCCAAATCCCCGTCATTCGCATGAGAAAGAGACAGAGATATCGTGGACGTAGGTCGGGGTGCCTTGTAAGGATCCGACGCCGAGCGAGTAAACTGCCTCTTCCCTCAATCCTATTAGCCAATGTTCAATCATTTGAAAATAAGGTAGACGACCTAAGATTACGGTTATCTTACCAACGGGACATTAAAAACTGTAATATCTTATGTTTCACCGAGTCGTGGCTGAACGACGACATTGATAACATACAGCTGGCGGGATATACGCTACATCGTCAGGATAGAACGGCTGACTCCGGTAAGACAAGGGGTGGCGGTCTGTGTATACAGTGAGGGAAAAAAGTATTTGATCCCCTGCTGATTTTGTACGTTTGCCCACTGACAAAGACATGATCAGTCTATAATTTTAATGGTAGGTTTATTTGAACAGTGAGAGACAGAATAACAACAACAAAAATCCAGAAAAACGCATGTCAAAAATGTTATAAATTGATTTGCATTTTAATGAGGGAAATAAGTATTTGACCCCCTCTCAATCAGAAAGATTTCTGGCTCCCAGGTGTCTTTTATACAGGTAACGAGCTGAGATTAGGAGCACACTCTTAAAGGGAGTGCTCCTAATCTCAGTTTGTTACCTGTGTAAAAGACACCTGTCCACAGAAGCAATCAATCAATCAGATTCCAAACTCTCCACCATGGCCAAGACCAAAGAGCTCTCCAAGGATGTCAGGGACAAGATTGTAGACCTACACAAGGCTGGAATGGGGGGGTTAGAAGGATTACTGTTATACTATTCCAGGTATTCCTTAAAGAGGTAGGGTTTCCTTAAAGAGGTAGGGTTTCCTTAAAGAGGTAGGGTTTCCTTAAAGAGGTAATGCTTATCCAGAGGCAGAGGCAGCGCTCCTAGTGGCCGGGGACTTTAATGCAGGGAAACTTAAATCAGTTTTACCTAATTTCTACCAGCATGTTAAATGCATGTTACACACAATATCCCATAATAACAAAGTGAAAACATGTTTGTTGTTTACACGGTTATCAAAACGTCATGAAAAATGTATTTTAAGTGTTTCTAAAATCCCCTATGGGAAAAATTAATGGTGGAAAAACGATCGGAACCATTTCCTTATTTGACCGCTAGGTTTTATAGGTATTATTATGACTCATACTGTGGTACTCTATTGTCCTGCTGAAAGGTGAATTTGTCTCCCAGTGTCTGTTGGAAAGCGGACTGAACCAGGTTTTCTTCTAGGATTTTGCCTGTGCTTAGCTGTATTCCTATTTTTATCCTAAAAAGCTCCTTAGTCCTTGCCGATGACAAGCATACCCATGAAATGATGCCGCCACCACCATGCTTTAAAATATGAAGAGTGGTACTCAGTGATGTGTTGTGTTGGATTTGCCCCGCACCTTGTATTCAGGACATAACGTTTTTTTCTTTGCCCCATTTTCTTGCTGTTTTACTTTAGTGCCTTATTGTAAACAGGATGTATGTTTTGGAATATTTTTATTCTGTACAGGCTTCCTTCTTTTCACTCTGTCATTTAGGTTAGTATTGTAGAGTAACTACAATGTTGTTGATCCATCTTCAGTTTTCTCCTATCATAGCCATCATAACTGTTTTAAAGTCACCATTGGCCTCATGGTGAAATCTGTGAGCGGTTTCCTTCCTCTCTGGCAACTGAGTTAGGAAGGACACCTGTATCTTCGTGTTGACTGGGTATATTGATTACCCATCCAAAGTGTAATTAATGACTTCACCTTGCTCAAAGGGATGTTTAATGTCTGCTTTTTTTTTTACCCATTTACCAACAGGTGCCCTTCCTTGCGAGGCATTGGAAAACCTCCCTGGTCTTTGTGATTGAATCTGTGTTTGAAAATTACTGCTCGACTGAGGGACCTTACAGATAATTGTATGTGTGGGGTACAGAGATGAGGTAGTCATACAAAAATCATGTTAAACACTATTCCAATGACTAATATAATGACTCCATTGTTGGGAATAACATGTGGGTACACACATAATAATGGCATAACAATGATAACATTGAAAGAAAGGAAGGACTAGTGCGCTAGTTAAGAGAAAGTGCAGGAATTATGCAAGTATGCTTGCTCTAGCACAGCTAGGAGATCTAAAAAAAAAGTACCTTATAGTTGAAGACTCTTCTTTGAGTCATAAAAGTGCATTGAAATTGCTTAGGAACTGTGCACACTTTGGATAGGTGTGTGGCCACTTGGAGACACCAGTTAGTCCTCTCACTCAAACCGTTGTAATTTTTTTGTCTTATGTTACACCTACCCCACATTTTCCAGGAATAGTCTAGTCATGTTACTGAATGTATCCAGAGTATTTTCAGATTTTGTTTTAAACAAATGCAGCAGAAATTACAGTAAAAGTAAAATGAAAATACAATCAACTGTGTAATGTTTGGATTCAGTCTTGTGTCAGGTGAACTGTTGTGTCCTCACCTTTGGTCTAATCATTTTCCCATGATCTCTAAACTGTTCCCTTTCAATTGCTACCATGGTTATGCATATGCTTTTCATATATCTTCTGTAAGAACCATTTACATTTAGCCATAACCATGTAGGCCAATTCCCACGAGTGTAAAGGGTTCAAATCCATGCAGCTCCAATTTTTATGCAAGTGACATCAATGCATGATTTATGCAAAAGTCTCAGTTGTGTCTAGGTGTTTAACAGTGTGTGTGTGAGGGAACTAACTGAGTCGATGAGTGTGTATGGGGACTGGACATCACTGAGTGCAGAGTAGAGGGGATACACCAACAGTGTAGTCCATCCCTTCCTCGAAACACTGGTCTGGGGAGCACCAAATATCTAAGGAGGTGAGAGAGAGGGATGCCACAAAACACTGCACTAAATCACACACAAGAAACGTGTGCAAACTAAACACAGGACTGTAATACAGGGTGTATACAGACAGAGTAGACTCATATACACAAAACGTATATATATCCTACACTACATACACACTTGCATATACAGACCCATTACTCACTCTCACGCGGAACAAACATACACAGAGAGAGAGAGAGACCAGGTATGTGTTTTCCGTGATCCAGGGTGGAGGAATGTCATCTGGTTGTCGTCATCAGGCATGGTGTTGGCACAGCGGCTGTTTGTTGAGATCACACTGGGACGCATCACTGTCATCAACACTTCTGCCCACTGGTCCGGAAACTACGCCAACACAACTGGTACATAGACATTGGAGTTTGATACCCCTGGTCAGGACTCCACTGAGGAAGGCGGAGGGACATATACAGTACCAGTCAATAGTTTTGACACACCTACTCATTCAAGTGTTTTTATTTTTACTATTTTCTACTTTGTAGAATAATTGTGAAGACATCAACACTATGAAATAAAACATGTGGAATCATGTAGTAACCAAAAAAGTGCTAAACAAATCAAAATATATTTTATATTTGAGATTCTTCAAAGTAGCCACCCTTTTCCTTGTTGACAGCTTTGCGCACTCTTGACTGAGGGACCTTACAGATAATTGTATGTGTGGGGTACAGAGATGAGGTAGTCATACAAAAATCATGTTAAACACTATTCCATGCAACTTATTTTGTGACTTGTTAAGCCCATTTGTACTCCTGAACTTATTTAGGTTTGCCATAACAAAAGGGTTGAATACTTATTGACTCAAGACATTTCAGCATTTCATTTTTTATTAATTTATAAGAAATTCAAAAAACATAATTCCACATTGACATTATGGGGTATTGCGTATAGGCAAGTAACACAAAATCTCAATTGTATTCATTTTAAATTCAGGCTGTAACACAACAAAATGTGGAAAAAGGCAAGGGGTGTGAATACTTTCTGAAGCCAATGTAGCTAATATAATGACTCCATTGTTGGGAATAACATGTGGGTACACACATAATAATGGCATAACAATGATAACATTGAAAGAAAGGAAGGACTAGTGCGCTAGTTAAGAGAAAGTGCAGGAATTGAGATTAAGGCAGGATCCAATATTATTATTGGTGTATACTTCGGTATTTATTAAGCCCAAGGGCACACAAACACACAGCATATGGGGATTTTGAATTATATGGAGACACGAAGGGGAGAACCTGCTACATTAACAGTACATAACCAGTGCCAAATAATGTCAATTGAAATTAATGTGATTAACCAGTTAAACTCATGTTATGGTACATACAGCATTCAAAGGAGGACTGAGGACAAAGTAACGGCATGCATTCACCAAACATTTAACTGAGTAAAACAGATTTGTTTTATAGTAATTGTCTGATTGGGAACTACCATTGTCTATGAAATTACTGTGTCAAATTATTTCAATTTGGCATTGGAAGTTTTATTGAGGACAGGCAGTAATACAGGAGTCAAATCGTATAGGAAGTCTCATCAGATCAAATGTTATCAGCAAGCCAGAGCCATCTGTGGAAAGAGCACAAATAAAACAAATATATATGTGCAAACAGATAACAAATGTATCATTCAACATAAGATTCCACCTAAAACATTGACATGAGCTCTGTCCCAATTTATTTCAGCTCAACTCCTCACTTTCTCTCTACTCGCATTTTCTCAAAATTCATTGGACATCATTGGCTCTCCGATCCATTGGTCTCTCCTCCGATGGGGAGGAGGCACGGAAATAGGATGCAAGGAATCGAGGAAAGATAAAATGGCACAGAGCTGTTGCATTTTTTGCCTCAATATGGAATGACAGATGTCACTATGTGGGATTGAGCAGAGGTGTACAATCCACGCCATTTGTCAGTATTATTGAGCCATAAGAAACATTCCTTAGATCTTTAGCTAAGAAACACATAAATGAGCATACAAGTATGTTTAAAGATGTTAAAGCAGTCATACATGACTTTTGGGAGTGCGGTGTCATACCTTTAGCTCCCTGGTGCAGCAGAGCTGACACGCTAAAACTGAGGTTGCGGCAGATGTCTGTGGAGGGGGTCTTGACCACGCTCTGGCTGTTCTCCAGACAGCTGTAACGCTAGAACGTGTCCCAGGCAGGCACAGTTGGTGGCCACGTCACCTCCCTCAGAACCAGTGAAGATCTCCAGTTTCTTACAGTGTGGCATCAGCACAATCTATAGAGAGGACAAAAATATACAGAAGATGGAATTAGATTTAGTATGTAGTCGAAGGGCTGAATCCCAACGTAGCCCTTTACACTCGTACCCATATACGGGTTGAAAATGGCAGGTTTGGGCACTAATAAGCACCTACATTGGAATGTAGTGGGTGTACAGTAACATGCTATACATGACATCAGAATTCTGGCTCTGCACTTCACAGCGCTGTTTGGGTTTTTGACTGACAGCTGTTCTGAACTTGAGCACCGCGCGCGACAAGAAGTTGCCCCCATCCCTCCTGGTAATTGGGCAACTTTAGCACATTTTTCAAAGTCTGAGTAAGGGAAACACTGCACACGCACCTGAATTCAGTCATGACTCCTTTCTATGCATCAAATTTACGATCTGTTTCTCTGAATTGCCTTGTGAAAGCCTAACACTGTAAAATCATATTTTATAACTTAGCTAGTCTTGTTGGCAATAGAAAAAGCTTCAAATCATGCCCACCTGACCCAGATTGAGATTTATAATGGACCGTTTTTGGATTGTGTAAACAACAACAGTAACTAAACGACTACAAGTGTGCTTGCTCTAGCATATTTGAGATTCTTCAAAGTAGCCATCCTTTTCCTTGATGACAGCTTTGCGCATTCTTGGCATTCTCTCAACCAGCTTCATGAGGAATGCTTTTCTAACAGTCTTGAAGGAGTTCCCACATATGCTGAGCACTTGTTGGTTGCTTTTCCTACACTCTGCGGTCCAACTCATCCCAAACCAATTGGGTTGAGGTCGGGTGATTGTGGAGGCCAGGTCATCTGATAAAGCACTCCATCACTCTCCTTCTTGGTCAAACTCCCCTTACACAGCTTGGAGGTGAGTTTTGGGTCATTGTCCTGTTGAAAAACAAATGATAGTCCCACTAAGCGCAAACCAGATGGGATGGCATATCGCTGCAGAATGCTGTGGTGGCCATGCTGGTTAAGGGTGCCTTGAATTCTAAATAAATCACTGACAGTCTCCCCAGCAAAGCACCCCCACACCATCACACCTCCTCCTCCATGCTTCACAGTGGGAACCACACATGCAGAGATCAGACGTTCACCTACTCTGCGTCTCACAAAGACATGGAAATTGGAACCAGAAATCTCAAATGTGGACTAATCAGACCAAAGGACAGATTTCCACCTGTCTAATGTCCATTGCTCGTGTTTCTTGGCCCAAGCAAGTCTCTTCTTCTTATTGGTGTCCTTTAGTAGTGGTTTCTTTGCAGCAATTCGACCATGAAGGCCTGATTCACAGTCTCCTCTGAACAGTTGATGTTGAGATATGTTTGTTACTTGAACGCTGTGAAGCATTTATTTGGGCTGCAATCTGAGGTGCAGATACTGTAACTCTAATGAACTTATCCTCTGCAGCAGAGGTAACTCTGGGTCTTCCTTTCCTGTGGCGGTCCTCATGAGAGCCAGTTTCATCATAGCGCTTGATGGTTTTTGCGACTGCACTTGAAGAAACTTTCAAAATTCTTGAAATTATCCGGATTGACTGACCTTCATGTCTTAAAGTAATGACAAACTGTCTTTTCTCTTTGCTTATTTGAGCTGTTCTTGCCATAATATGGACTTGGTCTTTTACCAAATAGGGCTATCTTCGGTATACCACCCCTACCTTGTCACAACACAACTGATTGGCTTAAACACGTTAAGTAGGATAGGAATTCCACAAATTAACTTTTAAGAAGGCACACCTGTTAATAGAAATGCATTCCAGACTACCTCATGAAGCTGGTTGAGATAATGCCAAGAGTGTGCAAAGCTGTCATCAAGGCAAAGGGGTGGCTACTTTGAAGAATCTCAAATATAAAATATATTTGGATTTGTTTAACACTTTTTTGGTTACTACATGATTCCATATGTGTTATTTAATAGTTTTGATGTCTTCACTATTATTCTACAATGTAGAAAATAGTAAAAATAAAGAAAAACACTGGAATGAGTAGGTGTGTCAAGACCTTTGACTGGTACTGTATGTGCTGAGTTGTGTAAGGCATTGCTACGCCATCTTGAGGATCCAAGATGGCGTAGCAGTGCGTTCGTGTACTCTGTAGTGTGTCCATGTAAATAGCCAGTTTTTTTTTGTCTCTTTCATATATATTTCTCAATCACACTTTTCATCCTTCAACTAAATATACTTTCCTGCAACCCGCCTCACCCAATGTGGAACGGATTCTATTATTTATTTTACCTTTTTATCCAGAATCTCCAGTTGAAACTAGCCAGCTAACTAGCTAACTAGCTACTTGCTATTAGCCACCGTTAGCAGTTTTCACCATTGTCCGTGGCCTGCACTACCTACCAGCCAGCTCTAGCCTGGACTATTATCGGCCAGTCTGCACAGCGCGCTATCGACCAAGAATATATCAGATTTTCTGCCGGAATCACTGAATCACTGGACCTTAACACCGGATCATCACAACTAGCTAGCTGCAACTGAATGGATGTTGTTGGCTAATCACCACCGCCCCCGAATCAAGCATCAGTTAGCCTTGAGCTAGCCTCGAGCCAGGCCCATCTCCCGGCTATCTACCTCTCTGTCAACCAGACGGGACCTCCTAGTGTCGACAGGGAGCCCCGCCGATCCATCACGACTGGTCTGCCGATGTAATCGTCTGATGTGGTTTCAACAGGCTTCCCGTTGCGACGACCACGAAGATCCATCTGCTAGCCCCGGCCCGCTAGCTCATGCAATCAACAGCCATGCTTCCTGCTAGCCTGTGCTGTAGCAGCCATTCGAACTGCTCCCGGTCTCACCTATTGCTGTTCACTGGACCTTATGATCACTCAGCTGAACAGCTGATGCCTGCTGGACTGTTCCTTTACACGGTACCCCCATCCTGTTTATCTGTTTAGCCTCAGCCCAAACTTTCGTCGCCATTACCAGTTGTTGTCTTAGCTCTCTCGAATAACACCTGTGATTGCTTTATGTCTCTCTCCCATGTCAATATGCCTTGCCTATTGCTGTTCCGGTTAGTTCTTATTATACAATTACACTGTAGAGCCCCCAGTCCCGCTCAACCAGCCTCAGAGAGCTCCTTTGTCCCACCCCACATACACGCAGAGACCTGCTCAATCGGTGCCTCCAGTGATGCTATCTCTTTCATCGTTACCCAACGCTTAGGTTTACCTCCACTGTACTCATATCCTTCCATATCCTTGTCTGTACATAATGCCCTGAATCAATTCTACAACGCCTGGAAATCTGCCCCTTTTTATTCTCTGTACCCAACGCACTAGAAGACCAGATCTTAAAGCCTTTAGCCGTATCCTTATTCTACTCGTCCTCTGTTCCTCTGGTGATGTAGAGGTTAACCCAGGCCCTGTAGCCCCCAGTATCACTCCTACTCCCCAGGCGCTATCATTTGTTGACTTCTGTAACCATAAAAGCCTTGGTTTCTTGCATGTTAACATCAGAAGCCTTCTCCCTAAGTTTGAGTTACTCACTGCGTTAGCACACTGTGCCAACCCTGATGTTCTAGCAGTGTCTGAATCCTAACTTAGGAAGACCACCAAAAATTCTGAAATGTCCATCCCCAACTACAACATTTCCCGTCTAGATAGAACTGCCAAAGGGGGCGGAGTTGCAATCTACTGTAGAGATAGCCTGCAGAGCTCTATCATACTATCCAGGTCTGTGCCCAAACAGTTTGAGCTTCTACTTCTAAAAATCCACCTCTCCAGAAATAAGTCTGTCACTGTTGCCGCTTGCTACAGACCTCCCTCAGCCCCTAGCTGTGCCCTGGACACCATATGTGAATTGCTTGGTGACCTAAACTGGGATATGCTTAACACCCCGGCCGTCCTACAATCTAAACTAGATGCCCTCAATCTCACACAAATTATCAAGGAACCTACCAGGTACAACCCTAAATCTGTAAACATGGGTACCCTCATAGATATCACCCTGACTAATTTACCCTCTAAATACACCTCCGCTGTCTTCAACCAGGATCTCAGCGATCACTGCCTCATTGCCTGCGTCCATAATGGGTCCGCGGTCAAACGACCACCCCAAATCACTGTCAAACGCGCCCTAAAACACTTCAGCGAGCAGGCCTTTCTAATTGACCTGGCCCGGGTATCCTGGATGGATATTGACCTCATTCCATCAGTAGAGGATGCCTGGTTGTTCTTTAAAAGTGCTTTCCTCTCCATCTTAAATAAGCATGCCCCGTTCAAAAAATGCAGAACTAAGAACAGATATAGCCCCTGGTTCACCCCAGACTTGACTGCCCTTGACCAGCACAAAAACATCCTGTGGCGTACTGCATTAGCATCTAACAGCCCCCACGATATGCAACTTTTCAGGGAAGTCAGGAACCAATATACACAAGGAGTTAGGAAAGCAAAGGCTAGCTTTTTCAAACAGAAATGTGCATCCTGTAGCACTAATTCCAAAAAGTTTTGGGACACTGTAAAGTCCATGGAGAATAAGAGCACCTCCTCCCAGCTGCCCACTGCACTGAGGCTAGGAAACACTGTCACCACCGATAAATCTACGATAATCGAGAATTTCAATAAGCATTCTGCTACGGCTGGCCATGCTTTCCACCTGGCTACCCCTACCCCGGTCACAAGCTCTACCCCCCCCCCCCCCCCCCCCCCGCTTCTCCTTCACCCAAATTCAGATAGCTGATGTTCTGAAAGAGCTGCAAAATCTGGACCCCTACAAATCAGCTGGGCTAGACAATTTGGACCCTTTCTTTCTAAAATTCGCAGCCGAAATTGTAGCAACCCCTATTACTAGCCTGTTCAACCTCTCTTTCGTATCATCTGAGATCCCCAGAGATTGGAAAGCTGCCACGGTCATCCCCCTCTTCAAAGGGGGTGACACTCTAGATCCAAACTGTTACAGACCTATATCCATCCTGCCCTGCCTTTCGAAAGTATTTGAAAGCCAAGTTAACAAACAGATCACCGTCCATTTCGAATCCCACCGTACCTTCTCCGCTATATAATCTGGTTTTGGAGCTGGTCATGGGTGCACCTCAGCCACTCTAAAGGTCCTAAATGATATTATAACCGCGATCGATAAAAGACAGTACTGTGCAGCCGTCTTCATCGACCTGGCCAAGGCTTTCGACTCTGTCAATCACTGCATTCTTATTGGCAGACTAAATAGCCTTGGTTTCTCAAATGACTGCCTCGCCTGGTTCACCAACTACTTCTCAGATAGAGTTCAATGTGTCAAATCGGAGGGCCTGTTGTCTGGACCTCTGGCAGTCTCTATGGGGGTGCCACAGGGTTCAAATCTCGGGCCGACTCTATTCTCTGTGTATATCAATGATGTCGCTCTTGCTGCTGGTGACTCTCAGATCCACCTCTACGCAGACGACACCATTTTGTATACATCTGGCCCTTCATTGGACACTGTGTTAACAAACCTCCAAAAGAGCTTCAATGCCATACAACACTCCTTCCGTAGCCTCCAACTGCTCTTAAACACTAGGAAAACTAAATGCATGCTCTTCAATCGAACGCTGCTTGCACCCACCTGCCCGACTAGAATCACTACTCTTGGCGGTCTGACTTAGAATATGTGGGACAACTACAAATACCTAGGTGTCTGGTTAGACCGTAAACTCTCCTTCCAGAGTCACATTAAGCATCTCCAATCCAAAGTTAAATCTAGAATCGGCTTTCTATTTCGCAACAAAGCCTCCTTCACTCATGCTGCCAAACATGCCCTCGTATAACGGACTATCCTACCGATCCTTGACTTCAGCAATGTCATTTACAAAATAGCCTCCAACACTCTACTCAGCAAATTGGATGTAGTCTATCACAGTGCCATCCATTTTGTCACCAAAGCCCCATATACTACCCACCATTGTGACCTGTACGCTCTCGTTGGCTGGCCCTCACTACATATTCGTCGCCAAACCCACTGGCTCCAGGTCATCTATAAATCACTGCTAGGCAAATCCCCGCCTTATCTTAGCTCATTGGTCACCATAGCAACACCCACCCGTAGTCTGCGCTCCAGCAGGTATATCTCACTGGTCATCCCCAAAGCCAACACCTCCTTTGGCCGCCATTCCTTCCAGTTCTCTGCTGCTAATGACTGGAACGAACTGCAAATATCTCTGAAGCTGGAGACTCTTATCTCCCTCACTAACTTTAAGCATCAGTTGTCAGAGCAGTTTACCAATCACTGCACCTGTACACAGCCCATCTGTAATTAGCCCACCCAACTAACACATCCCCATATTGTTATTTATTTTGCTCATTTGCACCCCAGTATCTCTATTTGCACATCTTCTTCTGCACATCTATAACTCCAGTGTTAATACTAAATTGTAATTATTTTGCACTATGGCCTATTTATTGCCTTACCTCCATAACTTACTGCATTTGCACACACTGTATATAGATTTTCTATTGTGATATTGACTTTATGTTTTGTTTACCCCATATGTAACTCTGTGTTGTTGTTTTTATCGCACTGCTTTGCTTGATCTTGGCCAGGTCGCAGTTGTAAATGAGAACTTGTTCTCAACTGGCTTACCTGGTTAAATAAAGGTGAAAAATGGGGTTCAAATGGTTCGCAAATGTGCTTCAAATGAGAAGGTTGTGGCTCCTGTTGATACTTAAACATCATGGAGAACACACACACACAGACACACACACAAGATGATTTCAGGCTTTTTCAAGTTGTTCAGGCTTTTTCATCACAGCTCTATTCAGTTGTAGACAGCAGAGGAGACGTGAACTACTCAATGAACCGTATTCAACCATATTGAATTACGGTTAAATAAAGGTGAAAATAAATAAATAAATAAACAAGATGAGTTAGGGAACACCCATGACCCCAAAAGCCTTAGAAGAATGTTACGTTGAGGTCAAAGGTGACTCACAGGTCCAACCTTGGCGTCCTCTGCCTCGTAGATGTAGTGGTCCAGGTCGATGAAGTAGAAGCCTGACTCCACAATGTCAGACATATGTTCTTTACACACATACAGACGCATCACCTGAGAACAACTGCAGTGAGAAAGTAAAAATAGGAAATGTCAAGAAATGTCATAGACTGGAGTTCAACTGGAATTGAAAAGTTTTAACATCTTAGTGTTGCATTCAAGATAATAGTCCCTTTAAAGACTGCTGCTGTATCAAAAGAGGCAACTATGGATAACCATTTAGCCAAATAAGTGATGACATACTATGTGGGACTGAGGTGAGCTGTACCAATCTATGCCACTTGTCAGTCAGTATGGCTCAGTATTGAACAGCCTGCTGTCATTTCATGCCCAACCCTTGTCATAGAGAGCTATCCTCCTATAGGTTTTCACTTCCTCCCTTACCTAACCTACTTGTACACATACAGTATAGAGTCATCCTCTTTATAGAACCATCTTTCTAACCAAATAGACAGCAGTTGGTCAAAGTCAATAAGATGTTGGCCTCCCGAGTATGCAGTTAGCAGTTTACAATATTGGCTATTTAGTTCGGAGTTTGATCTCTCTTGGCTCCCCCTCACCCCATCTCATTCAAGGGCTTCTTTTCCAGTGAGGGCCATCCCTGTCTGTTCTCACCCAGCCTCTCCCTCCTCCGGCACTCCCCCCCAGTCATGCTGGTCTTTCAAGTCCTCCTTCCATACTAACCCCTCGTTAACTAAGCTAGCTACAGTTGAAGTCTGAAGTTCACATACACTTAGGTTGGAGTCATTAAAACTTGTTTTTCAACCACTCCAAAAATGTCTTGTTAACAAACTATAGTTTTGGCAAGTCGGTTAGGACATCTACTTTGTGCATGACACAAGTAATTTTTCCAACAATTGTTTACAGATAGATTATTTCACTTATAATTCACTGTATCACAATTCCAGTGGGTCAGAAGTTTACATACACTAAGTTGACTGTGCCTTTAAACAGCTTGGAAAATTCCAGAAAATGATGTCATGGCTTTAGAAGCTTCTGATAGGCTAATTGACATCATTTGAGTCAATTGGAGGTGTACCTGTGGATGCATTTCAAGGCCTACCTTCAAACTCAGTGCCTCTTTGCTTGACATCATGGGAAAATCAAAATAAATCAGCCAAGACCTCAGAAATTTTTTTGTGGACCTCCACAAGTTTGGTTCATCCTTGGGAGCAATTTCCAAACGCCTGAAGGTACCACGTTCATCTGTACAAACAATAGTACGCATGTATAAACACCATGGGACCACGCAGCCGTCATACCGCTCAGGAAGGAGACGCGTTCTGTGTCCTAGAGATGAACGTACCTTGGTGCGAAATGTGCAAATCAATCCCAGAACAACAGCAAAGGACCTTGTGAAGATGCTGGAGGAAACAGGTACAAAAGTATCTATATCCACAGTAAAACGAGTCCTATATCGACATAACCTGAAAGGCCGCTCAGCAAGGAAGAAGCCACTGCTCCAAAACCCCAATAAAAAAGCCACACTAACAAACAAAAATAGAACTGTTTGGCCATAATGACCATCGTTATGTGTGGAGGAAAAAGGGGAAGGCTTGCAAGCCAAAGAACACCATCCCAACCGTGAAGCATGGGGGTGGCAGCATCATGTAGTGGAACAGGTTGAGAGCTTCAAGTTCCTTGGTGTCCACATCACCAACGAACTATCATGGTCCAAACACACCAAGACAGTCGTGAAGAGGGCACGACAAAGCCTATTCCCCCTCAGGAGACTAAAAAGATTTGGCATGGGTCCTCAGATCCTCAAAAAATTCTACAGCTGCACCATCGAGAGCATCCTGACTGGTTGCATCACCGCCTGGTATGGCAACTGCTTGGCCTCTGACCGCAAGGCACTACAGAGGGTAGTGCGTACGGCCCAGTACATCACTGGGGCAAAGCTCCCTGCCATCCAGGACCTCTATACCAGGCGGTGTCAGAGGAAGGCCCTCAAAATTGTCAAAGACTCCAGTCACCCTAGTCATAGACTGTTCTCTCTGCTACCGCACGGCAAGCGGTACCGGAGTGCCAAGTCTAGGTCCAAAAGACTTCTCAACAGCTTCTACCCCCAAGCCATAAGACTCCTGAACAGCTAATCATGGCTACCCGGACTATTTGGCACTGCCCCCCCACCCCATCCTTTTTACGCTGCTGCTACTCTGTTAAGTATTTATGCATAGTCACTTTAACTCTACCCACATGTACATATTACCTCAACTACCTCAACTAGCCGGTGCCCCCGCACATTGACTATGCAACGGTACCCCCCCTGTATATATAGCCTCCCTACTGTCACTTTATTTTATTGTATATATAGCCTCCCTACTGTCACTTTATTTTACTTCTGCTCTTTTTTTCTCAACACTTTTTTGTTGTTGTTTTATTCTTACTTTTTTGTTTAAAATAAATGCACTGTTGGTTAAGGGCTGTAAGTAAGCATTTCACTGTAATGTCTGCACCTGTTGTATTCGGCGCATGTGACCAATAAAATTTGATTTGATTTGATTTGATTTGATCATGCTGTGGTGGTGCTTTGCTGCAGGAGGGACTGGTGCACTTAACAAAATAGATGGCATCATTTGGAAGGAAAATTATGTAGATATATTGAAGCAACATCTCAAGACATCAGTCAGGAAGTTAAAGCTTGGTCGCAAATGGGTCTTCCAAATGGACAATGACGCCAAGCATACTTCCAAAGTTGTGGCAGAATGGCTTAAGGACAACAAAGTGAAGGTATTGGAGTGGCAAAGCCCTGACCTCAATCCTATAGAACATTTGTGGGCAGAACTGAAAAAGCGTGTGCGAGCAAGGAGGCCTACAAACCTGACTCAGTTACACCAGCTTTGTCAGGAGGAATGGGCCAAAAGTTACCCAACTTATTGTGGGAAGCTTGTGGAAGGCTTACTGAAACTTTGACCCAAGTTAAACAATTTAAAGGCAATGCTACCAAATACTAATTGAGTGTATGTAAACGTCTGACCCACTGGTAATGTGATGAAATAAATATAAGCTGAAATAAATACTATTATTCTGACATTTAACATTCTTAAAATAAAGTGGTGATCCTAACTGACCTAAAACAATTTTTACTAGGATTAAATGTCAAGAATTGTGAAAAACTGAGTTTAAATGTATTTGGCTAGGTGTATGTACACTTCCGATTCAACTGTAGCTAACCCACTGGGCAAACACTGGTTGAATCAACGTTGTATCCACTTAATTTCAATTAAATTACGCTGAACCAACATGGAATATACGTTGAATTGACGTCTGTGCCCAGTGGGAATGCTCTTGGTTAAACCAAAGATACTGGTTACTTTTATATGTGGTTAAACGCAGTGTTTATTTTGGCACAATTTTTTAAATTTAGTCGATATAAAATAGTCACATTTTTTATCATTTGAATAATGATTTAGTCTAGTTATTGTCATGACAAACAGTGGGCCATTTTAGTCAACTAAATGCCCTTTCATTTTAGTCACATCACATTTGTATCGCCTCATTAACCTATAGTAAACATAAATCACTGACTTCCATGTGCACAAACATACATAGCCTTGTCTTACCAACAGATTGTTCTGCATAACATCCTATTCTCTTCCCAACAGCAAATATATGACAAACATATATAAGAATAACATTATATTATATAAGAATTATCTGCCATGTAAATTCCTAATTCAGCCTACATTGATACGGCATATTACATACAAAACAAACAGACACTCACAAGCGCACAGAGAGAGAGAGTAGCACAATCACCAGATGGATTTGCAAAGTAGTATGGGTTGCACCTCCATCACTCAGTTGCATCATTGCCATTGTTATCAACGTTCCGCAGCCACATTAGGCCTTTTCACACTGCATTGTTCTTAGCCCCATGCGATCTTAGCCCCATGCTAGACTAGCCCTGGACTAGCTTAGCCTGTGTTTACACAAGCATTTGTTAACCCTGTGCTAAGCTTGAGCCCTGGGCTAAGGATTCACACTTGCATTCCAAAGCCCTGGGCTAACAAACAAACACAACATGCGACCAATATCCTATCTCTGACGCGACCAATGTTATAAACAATAAACATTTATTAGCACATTATTTCCTAGCAGTTGATTTCCAACAGTGGTTTGTATAAACCTTTCTGTCTGCCTGTCTGACCTCAGAAACAATGTTTCACTTTTGAAATTCAATCTCGCCCCTGTACAGAGAATGCTGTGCACGAGACATCAACTTTTCTGGTCCAGGCGAAATCATGCAACAATATTATTATCATGGATATGTCCAATTAAACGTCAATAGAAAAACTATGAAAACATTTTGCGTTTGCTGCCCTTCCAGCTGTAGATTTGTAGCTTTAGTTGGCTAAGTGAGAAGACGCTAGCCAGCCTGCATAGCAAAATAAATTACTAGGCATAGCAACCAATACTTTCGCGTGGATGAAAGTATTTTGGTTTTTGTCCTCAGAAGGTAGTATGAAATACTGTGAATTTACTTTTCAAAATGATGCAGAACGCATTACAGGCATCACAAGCATACAGTGCATTCGGAAAGTATTCAGACCCCTTGACTTTTTCCACATTTTGTTACGTTACAGCCTTATTCTAAAATGGAATAAAACATATATATATCCTCAGCAATCTACACACAATACCGCATAATGACAAACCGAAAACAGTTTTTTAGAAATTTCCAAAGGCACTGTAAATTAAGTGTAAGTGCAGCTTTTGTGATTGGACAATGAGCATTATAGGAGTTTTTAGCCTTGGACTAAGGTGCAGCTTGAACGCGCCTATTGATGTCCAGAAGTAGAACGGGGGCTAATAACTTTGAATGGGAGCTATTGACTGTTTCACCCAGTGATGTAGTCGAGTCACTAAACCTTGAGTCCGAATCGAGTCGAATTCCCCTGTGCTAGGGTCTGAGTCCAAGTCCAATGCTGTCTAGCTCCCGCCTATCCTTTCTTTGGATTGGTGGATACATCTCATTATTTTAATGAATATTCGATGAGGGTTGTTGACGTCAACCGCCATTATTCAATGGAGAGAGATGCTATGCTACTAGCCTCCTGACATGAATATGCATAGCCATCTCGAGACAACTCCGATATAAAGTGTTTTTTCTCAAAGTTGCTGGGATGTCATGTGTCCTACTTATATCAGTACACTTGTAACAACTTAAGCATTACGAAACTTCTATTCGATCAAATAAACCTCACGTAGCAAATTCGACACTCATTGTCCTCCTTACAAAAATTAGTTGCTTGGTGGGCGAAACAACGAACAAACACCACCTGCTGGAGGGAGACAGATTTTCAGCCAAGTTGGCCCTCTCTCTTCCTCTTCCTCTCTGGCTATAGCTACACTACATGACCAAAAGTATGTGGACACCTGCTCGTCGAACATCTCATTCCAAAATCATGGGCATTAATATGGAGTTGGTCTCCTCTTTGCTGCTATAACAGTCTCCACTCTTCTGGGAAGGCTTCACACTAGATGTTGGAACATTGCTGCAGGGACTTGATTCCATTCAGCCACAAGAGCATTGGTGAGGTCGACCACTGATGTTGGGCGATTAGGCCTGGCTCGAGTCGGCGTTCCAATTCATCCCAAAGGTGTTTGATGGGGTTGAGGTCTGGGCTCTGTGCTGGCCAGTCAAGTTCTTCCACACCGATCTCGACAAACCATTTCTGTATGGACCTTGCTTTGTTTACAGGGGCATTGTCATGCTGAAACATCGAGCCCTGACTGTTGCCACAAAGTTGGAAGCCCAGAATTGTCTAGAATGTCATTGTATGCTGTAGCATTAAGATTTCCCTTCACTGGAACTAAGGGGCCTAGCCCAAACCATGAAAAACAGTCCCAGACCATTATTCCTCCTCCATCAAACTTTACAGTTGGCAATATGCATTGGGGCAGATAGCATTCTCCTGGCATCCGCCAAACCCAGATTCGTCCGTCGGACTGCCATATGGTGAAGCGTGATTCCAGAGAACGCGTTTCCACTGCTCCAGAGTCCAATGGCGGCGAGCTTTACACCCCTCCAGCCGATGCTTGGCATTGCGCATGGTGATCTTAGGCTTGTATGGGTTTGGGAAATGGGAAATGGGAAATGGGTTTCCATGGCTGCTCGGCCATGGAAACCCATTTCATGAAGCTCCAGTTCTTGTGCTGGCGTTGCTCTCATGAGGACCGCCACAGGAATGGAAGACACAGAGTTACCTCTGCTGCAGAAGATAAGTTCATTAGAGTTACCAGCTTCAGAAATTGCAGCCCAAATAAATGCTTCATAGAGTTCAAGTCACAGACACGTCTCAAGATCAACTGTTCAGAGCAGACTGTGTGAATCAGGCCTTCATGGTCAAATTGCTGCAAAGAAACCACTACTAAAGGACACCAATAATAAGAAGAGACTTGCTTGGGCCAAGAAACATGATCAATGGACATTAGACCGGTGGAAATGTGTCCTTTGGTCTGGAGTCCAAATTGGAGATTTCTGGTTCCAACAGCCGAGGCTTTGTGAGACACGGTGTGGGTGAATGGATTATCTCTGCATGTGTATTTCCTACCATAAAGCATGGAGATGTGATGGTGTGGGGTGCTTTGCTGGTGACACTGTCTGTGATTTATTTAGAATTCAAGGCACACTTAACCAGCATGGCTACCACAGAATTCTGCAGTGATACGCCATCCCATCTGGTTTGGGCTTAGTGGGACTATCATTTGTTTTTCAACAGGACAATGACCCAACACACCTCCAGGCTGTGTAAGGGGAGTTTGACCAAGAAGGAGAGTGATGGAGTGCTGCATCAAATGACCTGGCCTCCACAATCCCCCGACCTCAACCCAATTGAGATGGTTTGGGATGAATCATACTGCAGAGTGAAGGAAAAGCAGCCAACAAGTGCTCAGCATATGTGGGAACTCCTTCAAGACTGTTGGAAAAGCATTCCAGGAGAAGCTGGTTGAGAGAATGCTAAGAGTGTGCAAAGCTGTCATCAAGGCAAAAGGTGGAGAATCTCAAGGTATATGAAGAATCTCAAATATAAAATATATTTTGATTTGTTTAACACGTTTTTGGTTACTACATGATTCCATATGTGTTATTTCATAGTTTTGATGTCTTCACTATTATTCTACAATGTAGAAAATAGTAAAAAATAAAGAAAAACCCTTGAACGAGTAGGTGTGTCCAGACTTTTGACTGGTACTGTAGGCATTTATTTAAAAAGTACTAATATTGACATTTATTAACAAACCTTAAAGAAACTGTTACACAGTATTAGAGTACCCGCTCCAGTATTTCTCCAGTATTTTCAAAAGATTCAGTGGAAGCAGGATCAGGCAGCGTTCATCCAATTACAAGACATGTATTTCCAGATTAATGGTACATGGTTTGCAAATGTTCTTTGAATGATTCCAGCCTAGCCTACTTCTAGTCTCTCACAGTCATAAACTAACACATTGATACACTACCGGCCAAAAGTTTTAGAACACCTACTCATTCAAGGGTTTTCTTTATTTTTACTGCATACCCAAAACCGATTAGTGAAGGTGCTGAAGGCAAAAGGCAAAACTATCAAATGTATTTTTGACTGGGAGTGTGCAGAGACTTTTTCCTTTTTTTAATTCAAATTAGTAACACCTTTGTGTTGTGTTGTTGTGTTGAACTCATCCCTAATCGACATACAAGTAACTGAATTATATTCATTCAACGGTTATGTGTTAATCAAATAGATTAACAGAACATTATATTTATTAATCCAATCTAATCTAATTACATGTTATTCAATCTATTATTTATTAAGTAATTGTTGTCTCTTTCTCATACTTTGTGTAGGCTACCCCTACCAAAAATAAAATATAAAACGGTATGAAACATCTGTAATGGAAAGCGAAAGAAGCAGGCAACACATAGTCCAAGTTCATCTACTTCATTCACATGGCAGAATACAATTTAACTCTGAATTGCGTGAATGAAACAAAATATAGAAAATTAAAAACCCACATGCATTATACATGTATAGGGAACTTTGTAGCCTAAGTTTAAGTCAAGCATATGTCTGTGCTATCTCAGTGCACCACACAGGAAGACAGTGTCAGGGGGAAATGATTGCATGGTGTGAGAAGGATGTCATGTTTATTACGTCTGTGACAGATGTTGAATGATGTGATCAGTAGCGCAGTGAAGAAGTTGTTTTTTGCCTTAAGGACTGTGGACCAGTAACACCTTGGTTTACAGCAAGATTCAATAGTATTTGTTTGTTTTGGAGAGAGGGAAGGAGAGAGAGAGCGAAAGAGAGGGAAGGAGAGGGTGTGTTTGAGAGGGAAGGGTGACAGGGAGAAAGACTGACTGTGAGGAGTGTCAGAGAGGGAGAAAGAAAGAGAGAGTGAGAAAGAGCGAGAGAGAGCAAGAGAGAGCGAGAGCGAGAGCGAGAGTCCAACACTGCTAGTGAAACATGTCAGCTGTTGGTTAAGGGAGGCTGAAGAAGAAAAATACATAGGGGAGAGAGAGAGAGAGAGAGAGAGAGAGGCAGGGTCTGGGTGTATGTATGCCAGGATGGAGAGACCCTCCTGTCTCCCGCGGAGCAGCAAGATGAACAGCTACATCACCAACGCCCTCTCTGACTTCTTCTTCAAGTATGAGACCCCCCGACAGGTGCTGGTGCGGAACAGGAGGGTGGGGGTCGTGTGCCGATTGATTCAGCTGGGGGTCCTGGCTTACATCATCGGGTAAGACCCCCCCTCTTTTAAAGGAGGTTATTTAACGGGACACTACATGCATGCAAACTTAGAGTGGAGCGGGGTGAACATGTGAGTTGTGTGTGAGCTTGTCTGTTTCAGCAAGACTAAGAAATTCCTCAACTGCAAAATGCATGACCCAGCTTTCATTATTTACATTACATGGCTTGTTTGTTGAAATGTCTACTGTCAATTCATCAAGAGATATCTGACCAAATTAAGAAGGTGTGATATTTAAAGATGCAGTCTGGGATCTTAAGCACTTACAAATTCAGAACATATTGTACAAATTGGAATCTGTAACATATTATACAAATTGCAAAACAAAAACGTACTTAAATAATAATGAAACGAAAAATGCCTTATTAGGCTATACAGTCATTCTACAGTACCTTTTGAATCACTTTTAGAAATATGAGTTTGGCCAGTCTTTGGTTTGAGGATCATGCAGTGAGCTATGCATGTCTAGTTTGTTAATTGAGCCTAGCAGATGCTCTTATATTCCCATGCCTTAATCACAGTCAACAAAAATGTTTTTTGTAACAACAATATCATGGAATAAAATAGAATACATTACAGTTAGGTGCAGATAGGCCTACCTAATGATATGCAACTACTGTGTTAAAAACAAATGGCTGCGGTGCAGGATAGACAGTAGGCAAGGATGGTGAAACAAGGATCTTTACTGGTGGTCCAAAAGCCAGGATACAAAACAACGGACTATTCACGAAAACAAATGAGGAGCACATAGGTCTCCAGAAAAAAAAGGCTGACAGCAAACAATACGAAATACTTACTCTGACTGGAATAACACAATACATTTACATTTTAGTCATTTAGCAGACGCTCTTATCCAGAGCGACTTACAGTGCATACATTATTTTATTTTTCATACTGGCCCCCCGTGGGAATTGAACCCACAACCCTGGCGTTGCAAACGCCATGCTCTACCAACTGAGCTACATCCCTGCCATCCATTCCCTCCCCTACCCTGGACGACGCAGGGCCAATTATGCGCCGCCCCATGGGTCTCCCGGTCGCGGCCGGCTACGACAGAGCCTGGATTCAAACCAGGATCTATAGTGGCACAGCTAGCACTGCGATGCAGTGCCTTAGACCACTGCACCACTCGGGATACCACAATGACACATGGAGACCATTATTCCTCGAGTACCTGTAACTCCGTCACGTGATCCGACACTGATACGTACTGCTTGACATCAAGGAACTAGCAGAGAAAACTGAGCAAGGGAACACAGGGAAGTGAGGACATAAATACACAGGTGAATCAGATAGCCACAGGTGACACCAATAGGCAGATAATTAGTCCCGACTGTGAGTGAGGAGGTGCCTATGGTTGTCGGAGGATGACACCTAGTGGGTCGCTACGGAACTGCGACCCACTCCTGTAACACTTTTATTATAATGGTGATATTTTCACCCTTACCCTTGTATGCGGTGGAATGTGAATCCACAAACTGGTTACTTTGCCATGTAGGCTAATGCTTACAAAACAAAAAACAGTTTCTAAAACCACAAATCTAAATGCTCTGGTCTGTCCTAGGAGTGAGGGTAAACGTTAGGCATGTTCTCTGCTATCCACTTTCTGTTGAAATTATTATTTTAGGTATAGGGGAGGGTCACTTATTAATTTTTTCAAGCGTTCAAGGAGGGTCCGGAAAAAATATATTTTAGGGAGGGCCATCCATTTTCATTTCAGAGAGGACCGATTTTCTCCAGGTGACCCTTATTATAAATAACGGAAGGCCACAGTGGTGTAGCTTATGGTGATACAGATATCACTTAAATAAGTATGAAAAATGTATGCACTCACTAACTGTAAGTCGCTCTGGATAATAGCGTCTGCTAAATGACTAAAATGTAAATGTAAAATTTAATAATCTGCAAGGTCAATCCGACGTCTGCAGTGGCCATACAGCATTTATTACGATGTGGCCTCCGCCTAAGTCAGAGCATTCATACTTCTTGCGCTTCGCAGAAACAGAGCAGAGCTGTTGTGAAGGAAGTTGTCAAGGAAGTGAGTTTGTGTTTATATTGGACCTTCCGCCCCCAGGACCTCCCGCTTTTGACATTATCGATCATAGTCTGCTGCTGGAAAAACGTATGTGTAATGGCTTTACACCCCCTGCTATACTGTGGAGAAAGAGTTACCTGTCTAACAGAACACAGAGGGTGCCTCTCCACCATAATCAAGGTAGAATCAGGAATTCCCCAGGGCAGCTGTCTATGCCCCTTACTTTTTTCAATCTTTACTAACGACATGCCACTGGCTTTGAGTAGTGTGTCTATGTATGTGGATGACTCAACACTATACAAAGAGGGAAAATTGTAATTGGCACAGAACAGGGTAGCAAGGCTGGCCCTTGGATGTACACAGAGAGCAAACATTAATAATATGCATGTTAATCTCTCCTTGTTCAAAGTGGAGGAGAGATTGACTTCATCACTAGTTGTATTTGTGAGAGGTATTGACATGTTGAAAGCACCGAGCTGTCTATTTAAATGACTAGCACACAGCTCAGACACCCATGCATACCTCAAAACACATGCCACCAGAGGTCTCTTCACAGTCCCCAAGTCCAGAACAGACTATGGGAGGCGTGCAGTACTACATAGAGCCATGACTACATGGAACTCTATTCCACATCAGGTAACTGATGCAAGCAGTAGAATCAGATTGAAAAAACAGATAAATAGATAGTCACATAGGACCAATCCTCTCCTTAGCTTGCAGACTTGTAGGTTGACAAATAGTGTGATGAATCAGGCGGATGAATTCTTTGGACTTTCATGTTGTACTTTGTACTTTCTTACTGGAGATGCACCAAAAGACAGACTGTGTCATGTCTCAACAAAACAAATGACTTGTTTACACTTTGTGTGTGTGTGTGTACGTGTGTGTGTGTGTGTACGTGTGTGTACGTGTGTACGTACCTGTGTCTGTGGGTGTTTTGTGTGTCTGTATACATCTTCAGGCATCTGGACTTCAGGAGCTACAGGACATGAACAGGCTGAGGCATATGCTCACACAGATAACAATCAAACATGGGTAAACACAGCTACGCTGCTTTTTCTCAGTGATTTCCCTCCTTGAGATAATACCGGAAAGGCATGTGACATTTCAAAAGTTGATTCTCTGTTGAAAACACATCAGAGAAACTTAAATGCGCTCAGCTTGGCAGATTCAGTCATACCAGAATTATAATACCTCAGACGTTTGATCTTCCTTCACATCCTAAAGACATCCCCCCTACCGTTGGGCCGTTGGGCCCTTGAGCAAGGCCCTTAACCCCACAACATGATCTCCATCCAGAATTATACTACCTCATAAGTATGTTCTTTCTTTACATCCTAAAGACATTCCCCGACCATTGGGCCCTTGAGCAAGGCCCTTAACCCTACAACATGCTCTCCATCTAGGGGCACTGCACTGCAGCTTGACCCTGTGCTTGTCTAAACTGTATGTGTGAAGTGTGATGTGTGCTGTCTGGGGGTGGGGGGTGATTATGAACCTGTCCAGGACTCTCTTAATCAGAGCCCTGCTGGCTTTGGCAGCTCAGAGATAAAAAATAACTTGGCTTTTCAGTACATTTACATTTTAGTCATTTAGCAGAGGCTCTCAAAGGCTCTGCATGGTCAATCCAACATCTGCAGTGGCCGTACAGCATTTACTGAGATACGACATCTGCAGTCAGTGCATTTATACTTTTTGCGCTTCGCTGAGCAGAGCAGAGCAGAGCTGTTGTGAAGGAAGTTGTAAAGGAGTTTGTGTTTATATAGGACCTCCCGCCCCCACCTACCATCAACCAATCATGTCAATGCGGATCTATACGGAGCTCTCCGCATTGTTACAAGATTTGGGTGACGCATGGCAGCTCAATTTGCCTCTGCATGCCTACGGAGGCTCTGCAACTGCGTCACACAATCCATACGGCGCCTCCGACCACATTTTCGGATCAAGCATAAATCGGCTTCTATCCAGAGCGACTTACAGTAGTGGTTCCCCGTTGGAATCAAACCCACAACCCGGGCATTGGCGAATTGCCATGCTTACCAACTGAGCCACACAGGATCAGACAGCCACGGGCCTTAATAGAAGTAGGGAGACTCAAAAGAAATCTATCTGAAAAACACAGTGTGCTCAGCAAGAGCCACAAAGCCAATCACACATCAAAAGATCTGTCGCATGGTCTGTCTGACTTTGTTTCTCTCTCTCTCTCTCTCTCTCTCTCTCTCTCTCTCTCTCTCTCTCTCTCTTCTCTCTCTCTCTCCCCTCTTCTCTCTCTCGTCTCCTCTCTCTCTCAGGCCTTAGGATACAGAACCGATACAGATCTTACTTAGATTGTTCTGGTGGAAAATGCTTTTCCTCATGTCACGCTTTGGTTTCTTCTAATGTGGTCGTTCTTACTGTTCTTTCTATATGGACTTTAATTCAGAAACAACAACAACGATGGGATTTGTAGTCATAGCTTGACGCAGACATCCAGTTGAAGTGTTCCAGTTTATTTTTGAAAAGTTTAATTACAGCCAAACTGTGTGTGTGTGTCTGTGTGTGTGTACGTGGGTGTGTGTGACACTTGTGACTTAAGCTGTAAGGCAGTGGCAGTGGAAGGAGTTGTAGATGTGTGTAACATCCTGTCTCTGGGGCTTGATGCCAGGGGGTTATTGCTTTATATGTCATTTCAGTACTTGTTTTATATGTCATTTTATATTATCCCAGTGTACGTACATATGGCCCTATGACATCATCTACTCTACTGTTAATTATCTTGCTCACAAGCTGGTGTCCATCATTCTGGAGAAGGTAGGTTGAGACAGACAGACAGACAGACAGTGCTACTATTAAAAGGCTGTCCAAGGAAGTCCCTTACGTATCAGCTACACAGAGATACAATATGTCAGACTCAGCCAAGCTCAATACGAGCAGAAATAGGTTAATAACCTGGGATATAGATAAGGTATATTCACCCATGTGTGCAGATAAATGTACACGTAACGGTATGTAATAATCTCATTGTCACACATTCCATGCATTCCATCCCAACTCTTAACATTCTATGCATTCAGAGCATTCCCCTGGAGTCTGGAAATCTCTGTTAGTGTCCCAAATGGCACCCTATTCCCTACATAGTGCATGGTCATAGGGTTTGTTTACATTTACATCGTTTACAAACATTGGAGTAAAAAAAAAAACGTATATTTTGGGTTCTGATGGGGTACGACAGTTGAACTAAGCTCATGACGAATTTATAAGTTATATTCTTCAAGAATCAATGGGCACATATCATTAATTTATGAGTCGTAAAATAGATGTAGCAACTGCTGATTGCCCCTTTTAATCCTACCTTAATTCAACATCACCTGGTGATAGCCAGCTTGCACTGGGATTACTGTCTTTCTGCCTAATTCTCACTGCTGTGAGAGAGGCCTATACATCAGTCTGTGTGAAGATAGTACAAAAATTACCATAAACCTCATTTTAATCTTTAATTTGAAGCTTTTCTTCAATAATGTGCGTTATAAAGAGGCGACTGTTTATATATTGCTCAGTTTACTAAACTGTCTTTAGTTTACTAAATCACCTCTGTATAACGCACATTGTTGAAGAAAAGTTTCAAATTAAATCCCACCGCAAGATAAAGTTTATGGTATTTTTTGCACACTATGAAAATGTACAAAAATAAGTAATTCTATGCACTATGCATTTCACGAGGATTTTTGCATCACACATTGAAGTGTAAGAGGCCTCCAGTTTTTAAAATGGACTGGATCTTTATACTTACCACCTGGGTCCTGTTTCAGTAATAGTGAAATCAGACCTTTTTTATAGGAGTAGTTCAAACATGCTAATAATGGATCTTTGAGTACATAAAAAAAGGTTTGATATCCTTCTACTGGTATGCCATCAAGCCCTGGGGTTTTTCCAGACTGAAAGGATTGAATTGCCTCAAGAACTCCCTCCTCTGTAAGTTGGCCTTCACACAGGTATTTTTGTACAATTGATAATTTGACATTATTATTATTATTATTATTAGGGCAAAAATCCTTAGAGTTAACAGGAGGAGACTGGAAAGAAAACATATGCTTCAAATATTTTGCGTACTCTTTCAAAATATAATTAGGTGAATCATGGATGACTCCGTCATTTGTAACGAGTTTCTGTAAATTATTTTTGGTAGCATTTCTATGATGGAGATTCAAGAAAAAAGTGGTGCATTTTTCACAATTTTCCATCCAGTTTCTTTATTTTTGTAATAGATTACACTTGATCGTTCCAAATCTGTTTTATTGCTATCTACCTGTCCTGTTAGTCCCTCTATTTCCTTTATTAGTCTAATCTCTTTTGACCGAAACTGCTTTGTTTTAAAGATGAGTATTTAATTAATTGGCCTTTAAAGGTACATTTGAAAGTGTCTCATACAATAAGGGGATCTACTGTACCTATGTTCTGAAGGAAAACGTCCGTTATAAATTGTTTTGTCTTAGTTAAGAGCAAATTGCCCTCCAGTAGGCTTTGATTACATTTCCAATATACCCCCGTCCATGTGGAAATTCTGTAAGAGTTATGTGGAGGCCAATTAGATGATGGTCCGATCACTTTCTGTCTCCTATTAATACATTTTTTAAAACTTTTGATGCCAAGAATGAAACTAGCTTGATTAATAATAATAATATAATAATATAATACTATTGATTAAGCCTCCTCCATGTACAGTATATCTCACTAGGTCAGAGTTTGTTAGCCTCCATATATCCACTAGGACTAATGTGTCGATGATATTTGTGATCTCCTTAAGTGCTAGGGGTGATAGTTTGTAGTGTGATTTCCTTTACGGTCCATTGAAGTACTTCAAACCGTGTTATAATCTCCCACCATAATAATATGATCGTTTGTTGCTTGTGAGCTCAATAGATTGTTATAAATATTTTCCTCACAAAAAAGTGTGGATCATCATTATTTGGACCATATAGATTAATGATCCAAATCTGTTTATCATCCAATAGCATATTCAAAAGGATCCACCTTCCTTGCGGATCTGTTTGGACAGTTTGCACATTTGACTCGAAATGATTATTAATTAATATCATCACCCCTTTTGAATTTCTTTGCCCATGACAGTTCCTTTTCCACACAACTTAATCTATAGACGTCAGTGGTGGTCGGTGCCGTTGATGCGGGAGCATGGCCTTATTTCTATTACAGCATATTGGATGACTGTCATTCATATTCCATTTACCTAGCTCAATGTAACATTGATAGGTTTAGGCTACTACGTGAGACTCAAATTTTCCATATAACCATCATGAGGTTGCTCATCATGAGGGAGAGAGATCAAATAAATAAATAGGTATGTTGTAGGCCTCATTGCAGGGTTACTCACAACCAGGTCGTTATCTTGGAGTCTCTGAAGAGCTGGTTGTTAATGGAGAGCTTGTCCAACACCAGGTGCACTTTCTGGCCCTGTGCCCTGTGGTGTTTAAGAATAGGGTAAATAATGCGTCTACTCTCCACGATCTCTCAAGAATGTTGTTCATTGATAGAGAAATTGGTTCCGCATAGCCGCGGGAAGTAGGGGTGCTGAGAATGCTGCGGCACCCCCTGAAAAAAATAAAATATATGTATTTTTTCTCACAGAAGTAGTGCACTGGACCTTTAATAGTCCTGTATTAGTGGACGATATAGCCATCTACAGTGCGGGCAAAACTTTTCTTCCAGCACACCCACCCCCACCCCCAAACTAGCACAGCACCCCCATATAATATAATTTTACATTTACATTTTTAGTCATTTAGCAGACGCTCTTATCCAGAGCGACTTACAGGAGCAATTAGGGTTAAGTGCCTTGCTCAAGGGCACATCGACAGATTTTTCACCTAGTCGGCTCGGGGATTAGAACCAGCGACCTTTCGGTTACTGGCACTACATAATAATATAATATGCCATTTAGCAGACGCTTTTATCCAAAGTGACTTACAGTCATGCGTGCATACATTTTTTTGTGTACGGGTGGTCCCGGGGATCGAACCCACTACCTTGGCGTTACAAGCGCCGTGCTCTACCAGCTGAGCTACAGAGGACCACCCCATCCCCAAACTACTTCCCGCGGCTATGTCCTTCAGGTTCCCTCCTCTTCCCAGCACTGCCACTTTAATTTTGTAATGGGTTAGCCTGGCAAAAATAGGTCTCGGTCTGTCGGGAACTTTCCTGCCAAAAAGGTGGGCCCTTTGGTAATCCACATTTTCCACCTGTTCCTCCGTCATCTGGTAGTCTTCATTGTGCTCTTCCTCCACCCCTACTATAACAATATTGTGCCTCATGCTTCTGCATTTGATATCGTTTGTTTGTTATCATCCTGTCATTTTGTGGCCTGGAGGGTTTTATTTTCTGCCTTTATTTGCTGTATTAAGCTGTTATTAGACTCCACCGATACTTTGAGGGCCTCTATTTCTGCTTTTGCTCCAGGGAGCAAATCCAGCTTTTTCAATTGCTCGTTCATGTTTGCCAAAGGAGCTCTGTCGTGTTTGAAGTATGTTGTTGGGTAACCTTCTTCAGTTTAACCGTCCATTGTGATAAAAAACGTTTGGTCGGCCACAACATCTCTGTCTCGCTGGAGGACAGTACTGCTCTTGCCCGCATTTTCTGTTGACTTAACATGTCATAGGATTTAGCTATAAAATTCTCAAAGTCTGGTATCTCTTTCAGTTTGCTCCCTTCTTTTAATTGATGGCTAATTTACAATTTCAAACTATCAATAATGAGACAGGTTTGGAGCTCAGTACATCACTGCCACCTACCACGTCCCGTCTGCTCAATCTGATGATGATGAGACCATTATTAAAAATGACAAATATAAAGTTCCCACTGTGCCAATGATAAAAGCTTCAATGTGAATAGGTTATACTACTGAAACAAAGTTTAACATGAGAAGATACATTCAGACCAGCCTTACTGATTGAACTTAACTACATTAGTCATACAACACATCATACATGTATGACACATACTGTACTGTAACCTTGTCATATAGCTGCTGGCATCATGTGAAACGGTTGTCTAGAAATGCTGGCATTACTAGTGGATCTTTGCTCTTGCCTGGGGTTTCATATCTCAGATGCTGAAACCCCTAGTACTGTATGAGTCTGGTTCCTCTCAAGGTTTCTGACTTCCAGAGACTTTTCCCTCACCATTGTGCTTCTGCTTGCTTTTTAGGGTCTAGTCCGGGTAACTGTAAAGCACTTTGTGACAACTGTTGGGGCGTTATATATACATTTGATTGATTTATGGTATCCTCTGTGTCCTCTGCTCCATTCAGTTGGGTGTTTATCTATGAAAAAGGCTACCAGTCGACAGACACGGCCGTGGGTTCTGTCTTTACTAAGATGAAAGGGGTGGGCTACACCAAGGTGGATGGAGAGGAGAGGGTCTGGGACATGGCTGACTACGTCTTCCCTGAACAGGTGGGTCATTGGCTAATGTCTTTCTTGAACAGGTGGCTGAGTGTGGACGAACAGCACTAGTAAGTACTGTATTGAATGAAAAACTGAATTAATGACCTGAAAGGTCACAGATCATTATACCCTCTAGGAACTGAGCCTCACAATACATCTACCAGTGTGCTGTAATAGTAGTGCAACAGTTATGCGTAATAAAGTACTACAGTGAGGTTCATGCAGGGAAGTCAGACAGATGGTGTCTGACAAACTGAAGAAGAAGAAGAAGAAGAAGAAGAAGAAGAAGAAGAAGAAGAAGAAGAAGAAGAAGAAGAAGAAGAAGAAGGAAATGAAGAAAGTGAAGAAGATGACCTGTGACATCCTGATATCATTGTCAACAAGCAGGTGTGAGAGTGAAACTGTACCTAACTTTCATGAGTGGTTCCTTTGCACGCTTCCTGATCCTGCACACACATTAGGCAAATACAGAGACAAGCAGGAGAGTCTCTGTAAACATAGTGACATTGTTTGCCTAAGTGTAGTCAGCTCATGTTGACCATGACTAAGCAATGAAGAGATAAAAAGAAGACACCACTGTTTACGCTGAGGGCTGTGGCCATGATGGGTCTATTTAATTCAGAACCGGTTTGACTGATGGTCAGTAGTAGGGAGATCAATGACCAAACACAGCAAGAAGAAGGTCAAAAACACAAGATTATACATCCTGTGATCTTATATCAGTATCTATTTGCCTATTCAAGGTATCTACAGTTGAAGTCGTACATTTACATACACTTAGGTTGGAGTCATTAAAACTCGTTTTTCAACCACTCCACAAATTTCTTGTTAACAAACTATAGTTTTGGCAAGTTGGTTAGGACATCTACTCTGTGCATGACACAAGTAACTTTTCCAACAATTGTTTACAGACAGATTATTTCACTTATATATAATTCATTGTATCACAATTCCAGTGGGTCAGAAGTTTACATAACCTAAGTTGACGGTGCCTTTAAACAGCTTGGAAAATTCCAGAAAATGATGTCATGGCTTTAGAAGCTTCTGATAGGCTAATTGACATAATTTGAGTCAATTGGAGGTGTACCTGTGGATTTATTTCAAGGCCTACCTTCAAAATCAGTGCCTCTTTGCTTGACATCATGGGAAAATCAAAAGAAATCAGCCAAGACCTCAGAAAAATTATTGTAGACCTCCACAAGTTTGGTTCATCCTTGTGAGCAATTTCCAAATGCCTGAAGGTACCACGTTCATCTATACAAACAATAGTACGCAAGTATAAACACTATGGGACCACGCAGCCGTCATACCACTCAGGAAGGAGACGCGTTCTGTCTCCTAGAGATGAACGTACTTTGGTGCGAAAAGTGTAAATCAATCCCAGAACAACAGCAAAGGACCTTGTGAAGATGCTGGAGGAAACAGGTACAAAAGTATCTATATCCACAGTAAAACGAGTCCTATATCGACATAACCTGAAAGGCCACTCAGCAAGGAAGAAGACACTGCTCCAAAACGGCCATAAAAAGCCAGACTCCGGTTTGCAACTGCACATGGGGACAAATATCGTACTTTTTGTAGAAATGTTCTCTGGTCTGATGAAACAAAAATAGAACTGTTTGGCATTAATGACCATCGTTATGTTTGGAGGAAAAAGGTGGGGCTTGCAAGACGAAGAACACCATCCCAACCGTGAAGCACGGGGGTGGCAACATCATGCTGTGGTGGTGCTTTCCTGCAGGAGGGACTGGTGCATCATGAGGAAGGAAAATGATGTGGATATATTGAAGCAACATCTCAAGACATCAGTCAGGACGTTAAAGTTTGGTCGCAAATGGGTCTTCCAAATGGACAATGACCCCAAGCATACTTCCAAAGTTGTGGCAAAATGGCTTAACCCTCCCGTTGTCCTAGGGTCAAAATGACCCGCCACTGTGTTGAACCAACTTTATTTAACTTTTATATTTTTTGGATCATTTGTGAGAAGGAGGCAGTGATACTTTCTTTAAAGTCTCACTGACTCCTTCTCACAAATGATCCCCAAAATATAAAAATTAAATAAAGTTGGTTCAACCCAGTGGCGGGTCATTTTGACCCTAGGACAACGGGGGGTTAAGGACAACAAAGTGAAGGTATTGGAGTGGCCATCACAAAGCCCTGACCTCAATCCTATAGAAAATTTGTGGGCAGAACTGAAAAAGCGTGTGCGAGCAAGGAGGCCTACAAACCTGACTCAATTACACCAGCTCTGTCTGGAGGAATGGGCCAAAATTCACCCAATTTATTGTGGGAAGCTTGTGGAAGGCTACCCGAAATGTTTGACCCAAGTTAAACAATTTAAAGGCAATGCTACAAAATACTAATTGAGTGTTTGTACACTTCTGACCCACTGGGAATGTGATGAAATAAATTAAAGTTGAAATAAATAATTCTCTCTACTATTATTCTGACATTTCACATTCTTAAAATATAGTGGTGATCCTAACTGACCTAAAACAGAGCATTTTTACTAGGATTAAATTTCAGGAGTTTAAATGTATTTGGCTAAGGTGTATGTAAACTTCCGACTTCAACTGTACCTGAAGATTACCTTGTCTGTTATCATAATATATGGTATCTGTTAACTTATTCAAGGTATTTACCTGAGTCTCATGGTGATTTCCAAAACAATGTCATTGATACTGGTTATACAGTATTGATTTAGTGATTCAACATTGTATTACATCCAAAGGTATTTATTTTCTAGACATTGAAATTGGCAGTTTTGTAGTAGTAAAAGCTATCTTGTACTACTGTAACTACATAGACATGTCCTAATGACATTCATCCACAAAGACATGATCCTATCTCTAATTGCATTATCAAGTAGCTGCCATTATGGATCTTGTTATAACATTGACAGGAATTGATGCAATACCGTCTGTCTTTGCATGATAATAACCACTTCCCGAAGTGGTCACAGTCAGTGACTTAGCATCGTGTGACCGAATTACACAAGCATGCCATCCAGACCTGTGTTTTAAATACTATTTAAGATCTTTCAAAGACTTTGTGTTTGCACTTTGGAGACGTTAGACTTTTCTGTTGATTCCATTGCAACAGGGAAGCTCAATCAAGCACAGCTAAAGTGTCAATCAAGCAGAGCTAAATGACGTCAAATTGTATTTGAACCTAGGTCTGATGCCATCTAATGCTGTTACCCAGGCAGGAAGGCTCCAGTACCAGTCCTTATTAATGCAGGGCCACATGTCCTGTGCTTTATATGGCCTTTACATATGAATTAGTTTACATGAACATGAATAGAATAAAACAGGAGAGCGAGGGTCATAGAAATGCAATTACTAGAACAAGAAAAAGTCCCTTAGACCAGGGCTATTTGACTGCACCCTCATGTAATTCAGTAATTCTATTCCATGGCAGGGGCTATATGTCTGTTACCAAAACAACAGCGACAAAAGGTTTGTAACGTAACATGGAGAGATGACCTGCAGGTCTGTGAAAAGTAATAACTTTTTTAATGACAACTGATTTCACCTCATGACCTTCCGACGTGATTACGTTTTGTCAGGTATACTCCCCCTCTGGCCTCTAGGTCACCAGGCTGCTCTTTATTACGCACACCTGTCACCATCGTTACGCGCACCAGCGCCTCATCAGACTCACTCATCAGACTCACCTGGACTCCATCACCTTCCTGATTACCTCCCCTATATATGTCACTCCCTTTGGTTTCTTCCTAGGCGTTATTGATTCTGTTACTCTGTTCCTGTCTGGACGCTACTCTTGTTTTGTTCCATGTTTATTTATCATTAAATGCACTCCCTGTACTTGCTTCCCGACTCCCAGCGTACATTGTTACACATTTACAGGTCAAACTATATCCAGTAGGGTAGCAGACCCTGTTCCCACAGAGAATGGAGGCTTCGATATATATATATATATATATATATTGTGGCAGATCAGGGTGTTGGGTCAAGACGTTTACACAGATCAGACACGGACAGAGTATGATTAGCTCGATTTCAAGGGTGTTTATTAATAAAATAATCAAAAGAAAAGGTTAGGTCTCCCCCATGAGACCCTCTCCAACTACACGGAAGTTACCTTAATTCCCCATGTGCTGCCCTTCTGGCAGCTTTATGGGCCTTGCACAGCTGGTGAGCAATCCGCCCTTAATTACTCACCAGCTCCCAATCAGCCCCAATTAGTCCTGTCCGGGGAGCCCGTCGAGACCTGTCACGTCCAGCAGATGGAGCCACCGCCATCTGTTACCAGGCCTCGACGATGCTCCCCCTGGTGGCTGACCTGCTGTACGCCCTCCCCATCGTGTACCTGGGACAGAACGGCCCCTAGTCCCGTATCACATGCATCCGTCTGGACCACTATCGGCACCTGGAAATCGGGCTTACGAGAATCGGTTGGGAGCACAGCGCTTCCATCAGACGGCTGAACGCCGCTTCTGTCTCGTCCGTCCATTTCACTGTTTTCGGGAGGCGGGCCCTGGTTAGATTGGTAAGGGGGGGAGGCTATAGCCGCAAAGTTGGGGATAAACCGGCTATAGTATCCTGCCAGTCCCAGGAAGGACTTGACCTGTGTCTTGGTGCGTGGAACGGGCCAGTCACGTACCGCGTGAACCTTCCTCTCCTGGGGCTTGAGGTTCCCTCGTCCGATCAAATACCCCAGGTACTCCACCTCCTCGAACCCTAGCTTGCATTTCTTGGGGTTTGCGGTCAACCCGGCTTGTCTGAGCTCGTCCAGCATTGCCTGGAGGCACGTCAGATGCTCCTCCCAACCTTGGCTGTGGATGATGATATCATCCTGATAGGCCGCTGCGTACTGCTGGTGGGGTTGAAGCACCCTGTTCATCAGTCACTGGAATGTGGGCGGTGCTCCGTGGAGACCGAACGGGAGCACCCGGTACTAGTACAGACCGTCTGGTGTCGAGAACGCCGTCTTCTCCCGGGAGGAGGCTGCCAATAGTACCTGCCAATATCCTTTGTCAGGTCAAGGGTGCTGATGTACCGGGCCTTTCCCAATCGGTTGATTAGCTCGTCCACCCTCGGCATAGGCTAGGCGTCGAATACGCTTATGTTGTACACACCCCAGAAATCATTACAGAAGCGGAGGCTACCGTCCGGTTTGGGCACCAACACGATGGGGCTGCACCATGCACTGTGGGACTCTTCAATGACCCCCATCCTCAGCATAGCCTCCACTTCTTGTTTCACGGCCTTCCGTCGGGCCTCCGGAATTCGATACGGCCTCTTTCTTACCGTTTTCCCGAGCTGGGTACGGATGTGGTGTTCAATGAGGGTTGTGCGGTCCGGCTTCTCGGAGAACACCGCCGTGTTCCGTGTTCTCCGGGGCTCTTGCTTCTGGGCCGGG